TGGAAAATGGGATAATGCTAACTTTCTGTAAAATGGGTGCTTTTTAAAAAAAAAAAAAATTTAAATACCGTGTGTGGCCTGCCCATGTGTACGTGCATCACGTATGTGCAGTGCAGCGCAGCGGCCGGAAGGGGGCGTCCATCTTATCTAGAACTGGAGCTAACAGATGGTTGTGAGCCACTATATGGATCCTAGGAACGGAAACCGGGTCCTTTCAAGAGCAGCAAGTGCCTCCGAGCCATCTTTCCAGTCCCTAAAAAAATAAAAAATTAAATTAAAATTACACTTATTTGTGTATGGGAGGGATGCGCGTGCCACGAGTGGAGATCAGATGTTCTCTTCTTCCACCAAGTGATGGCGGGATCAGACTCGGGTGGTCAGGCACCTTCTCACCGCCCCTAGAGTGGGTCTTTTGTCTAATGTTGTGGATACCGTGAGTGAGGGGGAAGAAAAGGGGGGGGGACCCTCTTTGCTAGTTCCAGTAATGCAAACTCATCAAATTATAGGATTCTAGAAAGATTTTTTTTATTTCTGTGTATGTGTATGTATGCCAGAGCCTACGGAGACCAGAAGAGGGCGTCAGATGCCCTGGAGCTGGAGTTACAAGCAAGTTCCTAGCCGCCCTCTGTGCGTGCTGGCAACCCAACTCGCTCGCATAGTCCTCCAGAGCAGTACGCTCTCCTAACGGGCCGAGCCACTTCGCCAGTCCCAAGTAATGTTCTTGATCCGACCCACTATATAACTCAGTCCCCACCGCAGCCTCGAGGGCATCACGGGATGTGAACAATGCCACTTCCGTGCCTACCTTTACCGCTTGTCCTGTAGCAGCAAATCTAGCCCTCTTGCCCTGCCAAGCCATGCAGCGTCCCTCCCGCCCCCACCCGCCGGCAGGAGCCGAGCCTCCGCAGCTCAGGGCCTTGTTTCTTGGACGTGCTGTTCCCTCGAATTGGAACGTGCCTCCTCGTCCTTGGCAGAGCCAAATCCCATCGAACTAGAAGAAGTACCACCTTGTTTGGACGGCTCCCCACCCCCCACCCCGCCGCCCCTATCTGTGATTATTAGAGGGGCCAGTTCCAGGGCTGGCTGCGTTCCCAAGTGCCCAGGGGACGCCCGCGGAGGGAGGGCGGGAGGGAGGGCCCAGCGCCCGCCCTTGGGCGCCTGAGACTGCAACTCTTCAGATTTTAAACACACGTGTCACCGGATCTGTGGGGACACACCCCAGATGGCCATTGCCTAGGTCTGCTTTGACACCCAGGGTCTGCTCGCAGGAAGCCCCCAGTTGCGCCCCTCTAGGGCTGCGGTCCGTTTATTTTTATTTATTTATTTTTAAATTTTTGCTGTTTTACAAAGTTCCTTTCATTCGTCGTAATTTAAAAAATACGAACGCCAAGCCTTGACACGCACTGCTCGCCACTTCCTCCCCCAGGCGCTGGGGCGGGGCGGGGCGGGCGCGTCCTGTCGCGTCCCAGCAGAAAGCGGGCTGGGGGATCTGGTGCCAGACTCAGGAGTGTGGGGCCCTGATCCCCGACCCCTGCTTCTGCTCTCCGGGAGCCCCAGGGCTGCCACCCTTACACTCCAAGGTCTTCACCTCCCGTGTGTTGACGCCCCGGGTCTCGCGCCCTGAATTGCACTCCGGATCCCTCGGACTCCCCGGAACGATACCCTTCTTGCGTTTTTTTTTTTTTTTTTTTTGGCAGAAGAGGAAACAGCTCGGAAAACTGAAGGCACAAACCCAGGCTCTCCGGCCTCTCTCTCTTCGGGGCCTCTATTGGGAGACCCTCTTCTCAGCCAGGCCCACACTGTCCCCAAAAGGAAATGTGTGACCGGAGGTTGAATGAGCCTCTCTGTCCCGCTGCCTTCGGTTCCCTTCGTTCCCTAACCCGCTACCCTGAACACTCACAAACCTGCCATCTAAGCTCACACCAGTCCTCAGGAGCTACCCCCAAACAGCCCAGATGGGTCACCTTCTGCAGGAAGCTCCCAGGCTCTCTCCCTGCTCGGGAGAAAATCGCACCGCCAGTACGGAGGATGGAGGCAATTTTGTTTTTGTTTCCTCCAAGGAGAGCATGGCTCCATCTCCGCTACCGTTTACTCTCCCCCAGCAGTTGGGGAGGGAGGCTTTACCCACACGATCTATTACGATTATTAATTTGATGGTTGCATCCCCAAGGAAAACAATAGTGTGGGCTGCTGGCGGCGGGGTGGGGGGTGGCAAACAGGACTCAGCAGGATGCTGTAGGGCAGTTGAGACAAGGGTCCCTCCATCCAGCACCTCGGTTTCCCACTCGCAGAATGGGGCAGGGGGCAGACCTATGGAGCTTCTAGGGAAACGCTAAGGTAGGCCTCTTTCCTTAAATTCAGAGTTTTGGGGCTGGATTCACCAGGTCTACCACGGAGATGGGGGTTACACTCACCAGTGACCAATGGTTAGAAACAGCGGACCTCATCTCTGACCCGAGGCCTCAGTAGCCCCTAAGCCGACCCTCCTTATCTTTTTTAAAAGATTTTAAAATGAGCCCGGTGGTAATGGTGATGCAAGCCTTTAATTCCAGTAGTTGGGAGGCAAAGGCAGGCGGATCTCTGTGAGTTCGAGGCCAGCCTGGTCTACAGAGTGAGTTCCAGGACAGCCAGAGCTACACAGAGAAACCCGGTGGAGGAGGAGGAGGAGGAGGAGGAGGAGGAGGAGGAGGAGGAGGAGGAGGGGGGAAAGAAAGAAAAAAGTTTTTAAAAAATCACTATATTTTATTTCTTTGTGTGTGAGCACGCATGTACCACAATACATGTATGGAGCCAGAGAACCCACACACATAGGGCCCAAAGACTGCACTCTGGTCCTCAGGAATGGTGGCTGGTACCTTTACCTACTGAGCCATTTCCCTGGCCCCAAGATTTATTTTCATTGTTACAATTATTATTTGGAGATAGTCTCACTATGTAGCTCTTGCTGGGCCTGGAACTTGCGGTTTAGACGAAGCTGGCCTGCTTCAACTGCGTAGAGAGAGCCACCTGCTTCTGCCTCCAGAGTTCTGATGTTAAGGTGTGTGCCACAATGCCCGGCTAAGATTTATTTTTATGTATATGTGTTAGTGTACGCCACCAGTGTTAGGATGCCTCGGGAGGCTAGAAGAGTGTCAAAGCGGCCTCTGGAGCGGGAGTTCCAGGCTGTTAGAGCTACCACATGCCATTCCCTGCCAGGGAAGTGCAATCGCCTGAGCCAAATTTACCTTCTCAGCGCCCAATCCTGAATCCTAGATTTAGTTTTTCATGGATCCACCTTATCAACCTTCCCATCCTTCTGGGTCCCCCCACCCCACCCCACCCCCGGCCCCATTCCGCAGCATCTGGGAACTATGCACTCGGGGCACACTCACTGACAGCTTAGCTTTCAGAATCCTGTTCCCAGTGGCCTTCCCCCTGAACTCACTGGGTCAGGTGTCCGGCCTCACCCTGTCACGGTTCTTGTTTATTTAGCCCCACCTCCACCCCCTTCCCGTGAGAGCTCTTTGACAGTTGACATCCTCTTTAATTCGGGACTTTACCTCTCTTCCACTTCTAGTCCCGGGCCTACTACAAAAAAAGGAACCCCATTAATGAATGCCAAGTGAATCACCAGAATGGGCAGCAAGTTGAGGGACACTTAGGAGAAACGGAAGGGGAATCTGGGAGACGCGTTCTTCGGGACCCCCCCATCCCCTCCTGGCTATCTCGGGTTCCATCTTCTCCAGGGGCAAGCACCAAGGCGTGGGGAGGTACTCTTGCCCAGACCACCCTCTCTGGCGGCTGTCCGGGTTGCGCCAGACCTGTCCCTCCGCCGCTCCTTTCGGGCCCCACCCTCCTCGTTGCCCTTTTAAGAAAGAGGAAATTCTTTTCATAAACAAGCGCCCCAATCTGAGCGTCCAGCCGGCAGCCTACCCAGCCGGGTTCCGGGTAATGGGAGCTACTTCCAGACAGCGAACCTCCCCCGGGCTCAACCCTGGGACAAGGCTCGGTGGACACCCCTTCCTCGGCGCTGCTCTGGGCTGTTCTAGGCTCGGGTGCGAGGAACCGGAGGAGTCCGGAGGAGGGACTTAGGGGAGCCTAGAAACTGTCTAGGGAGCGTCTGCAAAGTGTTAGCGCTGCACGGGGCGAAGGGTTCCGGGAGGCTCGCTGCGGAGGAGGGGGTTCCCTGCCCGCGCTGGTACTCGCAACCTCTGCGCGGGCGGAGGTGGCTTCCGCAGCCTTAGGAGAGCACCCGCCTGCCCACCTGAGTGCCACTTGTCCCTGAGGGACGGCAGGGCTTAGGCCGGAGTGTGGGTGCTCGGGAGAGTCTCTGCCCCTAGGGGGAGCTGAGAGACGAGCGCAGGGAACCCTAATGGGGCAGCGTGGGAGTCGGGTCAGCCCTGTCCCCTGGGGAGATGGCCAAGGAACTGAGCCTTGAAGGCACAGACTTTGGGTCCTTTATGGCCTGGTTCCTGACAGAAAAGGAACCGTTTCTAGGTTTTACCGCCTGGAAAATGGGTTGCAGTAAAAACAGAGAGTAGGAAGATAATCAGACGTTTGAGGGGTGCGGGATTCGACGTTTAGATTTTTTTTTCCAGCGCTTTGGAACAGAGGGGAGCTCCTGTTCAGTCGTCGGACTATTTTTTTTTTTTAAGTTTCTTCCAGTCCTAACCCCGCCCCCCCCCCCCCCCCCCCCCCCGCTCAAGTTTGTCAGGTTACTGCTCCTCCTCCTCCTCCTCCTCCTCCTCCTCCTCCTCCTCCTCCTCCTCGAGACAGGCTGTCAGGTAGCCCAGGTTAGCCTTGGACTATATAGCAAGACTATATAGATGACCTAGAACTCCTTAAGCCTCAGCCTCCACCTTCCAAGTGAGACAACAGAGTCGTGGAGTTGTTTTGTTTTCTTTTGTATGGGGTGGTCTGACTAACCTTGTACCCCCATCCTACTACCTCAGTCCAGGAGGATTACACGATTGCACGGAAGAGTTTTTGGATATCTTTCAGGAACCGAGCAGCAGACACTGTTTTGTGTTGAAGTAATTTTTATTTATATGGATGCTTTGCCTGCATGCCTGTCTGTGCCCGGGTGCATGCAGTACCCGGTCTAGGAAGTCAGAAGAGGGCACTGGATGCCCTGGAACGGGAGTCACAGTCACTTGAGAGGCACCATGTTGGTGCTGGAGAGAGCAGCCAGTGTTCTTAACATTTGAGCCATCTCTCTAGCCCCAGGCTCTGTGTTTTTAAGTCTTTGGCGTTGGTGGTTAGATGGGTGTGGTCCCTAGCACGGATGAGGGCACTTTACTCAGAGGTGAAGCGCTTGTCTAAACTGGAAACCTGTAATCCACTAAGCTGCATGGTGGATCTCCAAGTGCCTTGCTTTCTGGATCCGCTGCTCCTCTCACCCAGAGCTCTCCCCATCTTCCTGCTCCTCTTTGGGGAGCCCATATAGGAAGTGCTGGTGGGAACTGTGGGTCAGAAAGGAGGCTCCGTGGGCAATGCAACAGGTCCAGGCCTGCGAAAGGACCATGAATGGGGAGAGAGGCCAGAGCTCTGCAGAAGCCCCATGGGTCTCCCTCTCCTGCCCTCCCTTATCCCTTGGCTGCCCCCAGTACCAGATAGGCAGTAAGGCCCAGGTAGCCCAGAGCCAGCAGAGCTACGAGGCCAAAGTAGGCAGGGTGCGGGAGGCTGGGCAGGTAGCTGACCACAAAGTAGAGGTTGATGGCACAGACCAGTGCCATGATGCAGGAAGTGATGGCTTTGCTCAACCTGGGGGATGACAGGGTCCTGAGGGCTGGCTGGATGCAGCTGGACCACCTGGGTCATCTCCCCACCCACCCCCACACCCAGGGCCTCCAGCTAGCCCGGAACTGGGGACAGGGACTCAAGATCCCTCCTCTTCTGACCTGTGTGGTCTAGAGCAGACAGACCCCATTGGCTGCTTGGGGGCCCTTCAGGCTGTCCACACTGGCAGGACTTGGCAAGGGGTATGGTGAAGGTAAAGCCAGGTTCAAGAACAAGCCCCACCAAGTCCTGGCTCCCATGGTTAGTAGCTGTGAGACACTGGGCAAGTTCTTTAAGGTCCTGGGGCCTTGGTTTCATGGGATGGTGGTGATAACAGTTGTTCCTGCCTCTCCGTGGCTGTGAGTACAGAAGGCAGGTTCCAGGATCTGGTTTGGGAGGGGAGTACTCACAGACCATTGGCAAACTCCTGCATGATGGCTGGCATGCTGGTGAATGTCAAGATGGGCAGCACAGCAAAGGGCAGCTGTAGAGAGCAGTGGAGGCTGAGGCTGAGGGAGCCTGCCTCGGTACAGCAGGGAGCAGGAGCGGCGACCTCCGCATCTCCTCTGGCTGGGGGCCTTTGGGGAAGTTCCCTAAGAGCCCCGGGGCAATAGTCTCATCCCTGTCCCTTTCAAAGCAGGAGGAAGTATGGAGAGCTTTGGCCTCAGACTGCTGGAGTTTGAATGCCAGCTCAGCCTCCCGTCAACTAACTCCATTCATCAGTTTTTCCATCTGTGGAATGGGGACAGTGGGGACTCTTGCTCCTTAGGGTGGCTGTAGAGTCCCATGAGGGTTTAGGGCAGAGCCTAGAGGGCTCTTTGGGGGGTGCGGAGGGGGGCTACTGTGCTCCTTATTGGACCACGGTTCTCACCAGCAGACTCTGCAGAACGTTGAGCAGATCGTTGAGGCCCGATAGGTCCCTCAGGTCTCGGAAGACAGCCACAAGCACGGTGGGCAGGATGGCGCAAGAGCGAGTGAGGAGGACGCGGGCGAAGCGGGACCACCGCAGCCTCAGGAAGCCCTGAGTGCGAGGAGCAAGCACCCTGATGGGGCCGTGCGGCCTCGGTGGTCTCAGACTCCCCTGCCACCCCCCCACCCCAATTTGTCCATCTTGGAAATGGGGGCAGCTCTGACCCTTGTTGGGGAGAGGATGAGTGGGGAAGGGGGGAGTCCCCTAACTGGTTGCCGATTGTGGAGCAACTCTCGGGATTCTGGCTGTCATCCCGCCCCTCTGCGACTCAGAAGGGCCCAGCACCAAGCCTCCATTGGCCAGTGGGCCCTCAGTGCCCACCTCCATCACGAACTGCCCTGCGTAGGTGCCAGTCATAGTTGAACTCTGGCCGGCTGCCAGGAGACCCACTGCCCAGATGTAGAGGGCTGCAGGGCCAAAGAGACAGCCTAGGATCACACCCTAGACGAGAAGGTGTGATCAGACACAGGCCCCGCCCACTAGAGGCTCCACCCCCCGACAAGGCGTGGCCAGACATCCGGCCCGAGTGGCACTTACTCCTTGGTAAATATCCACTGACACTGTGTCATTGTCCCTGGGGAAGATCTTAGCATAGTTGTGGAGGCTGCTGTTGGCACAGATGTTGAACTGCGGGCAGGAGTCAGTAGGAGGGAGGTGGGAAAAACACAAACGCGTTTTTGGAAAATCAGGACCCCAGGCCCTGGTGAATTTAAAACCTGAGGCCCGGCAGGCGAAATCTGGCTAGACATACTTTGTTAATAATGGTTTTCTTTTTCTTTTTCTTTTCTTTCTTTTTTTGAGACACAGTATCTCTATGTAGCCCTGTGTGTCTTGAAACTCCCTGTGTACACCAGGCTGGCTTTGAATTCACAGAGCTCTGCCTCTGCCTTCAGAGTGCTGGGTTTAAAGGCTTCGGCCACCATGCCCAGCTTGTTTTCATTTCTCTTACTGTGAATTTGTTGTTAGTATTTAAAATGCAGCTTCACAGGAGAAGTGGACTTCTATCCTCTGGGATCAGTAAGAGCAGACACCGTCACTACATTCCCACAGCCCCCTCTTCCTCAAACAGCCCTGTAGTCACTTGAACTTGAAAACAGGCACTCGCCCTTAATCCCAGCACTCTGGATTAAAGAGGCCGGTGGATCTCTGTGAGTTCGAGACCAGCCTGGTCTACCGAGTGAGTTCCAGGACAGCCAGGGATACACCCAGAGAAACCCTGTCTCAAAAACGAAAAACAGCCGGGCAGTGGTGGCGCACGCCTTTAATCCCAGCACTTGGGAGGCAGAAGCAGGAGGATCTCTGTGAGTTTGGGGCCAGCCTGGTCTACAGAGCTAGTTCCAGGACAGCTGGGGCGGTTACACAGAAAGACTCTGTCTCGAAAAGCCAACCAACCAACTAAACAAAAAAACAAAACAAAACAAACAAACAAACAAAAAAGCAAGAAAATCAGCTTTGAAGTCTCCCATAGAACCCTCTCCCCTCATGCTATGTAGTAGTGTGATGCCGTGGGGGGGGGGAATGCACCCTCACACACTCAGGACATATAGCAAGGCCTTCCAAGGGCAATGAGTAGGGAATCCTGCCTCATTCCCCACCACCACCACCACACCACATGCACACAGAGGGTTCCACCTTTAGCAAGTGACTAGGATTGTGATAGCCCCATGATGGAGGACTGACTACTCCTAGAGGGTGACAGACCCAAGTCTAGAGCCCGGAGAGCTAGGAGGAGCTGGTCAGCTCCTGCTTCCAGAGAGAACATAACTGCCAAGGTCCTTTCGGGGACCCTCCCCCCTCCGCCCGTCATTCTGCATCTCCACCTGCAGCTGCATCCCTGCATTGTTCCGCCTCTGAACTCCCCTGAGCACCCACGGGCGGGCGGGCGACTGGCTTCCTGTCTCTTCCTGTCTTCCCTGTGTGTGACAGCTACAAGAGCAAGGTGCGGGATTCCTTCCTTGCTCGCTCTGCCCTGTGGCTCTCGGGTGATGCCTGGTACCAAAGCAGCAGCTCGGTCATTGCTGCAACGTGATTGACTGACACCTGTCTTCTGGGAGTTGAGATGATGAGGAGAGAGGACCCTACAGCCCAGAGTCCAGCAGGGACTCCGGAAGGTGTGACCCCGTGACCTGAAACCCGGGGCCAAGCTGAGGGCCGATGGGGTGGGGGACACACAAGCAGTGCTGGTACATGGGGACAGTGTGGCTCACCGCTTCCTCATTGGTTTGCTGGTAGAAGGCCTGACCAAAGACAGCCATGACGAAGAGGTTGATGATGAAGGACACAAAGAGGGCAATGGTGGCCTCAATCAGGAAGTACATGTTGGCTTCTCGAATGTCCGCCCGGCGGGCTCTGTCTACCTCTCTGGACTAGTGAGGTCAGAGATGGAGGGAAGGACCAAAGTCTCTCAGAGGTCCCCGACGTCCTCGACCCCCACATTTATACCTGTGTTCCCTCTGAGTCACGGTTCCTTCAAAGTCCCCTGTGTAGAATCTGGTTCAGGTCCTGGTCAACTGCCCACTTCCCACATCCCTTGCCGGCAGTCTGGTCCGCAGTGACAGGTTATGTGAGTGAAGGAAGACCTGACCTTTGAGAGCCCTCTCTAATTCAGCCCTGATGTTCTTCCCCTTCATTCAACATGCTTCATCTTTGAATGGGTCTGGTTCATTTCTGCCTCAGGACCTTTGCACTTGCCAGTCTCCCATCCTTCGGTCCTTCTACCAGACTTTTGAGTTTGTTTCTTTGTGAGCACCTTGCACCATCCGCTTTTCCTTCCTTTGTTTACTTTGTCCTTGTCTGTATCCCCACACTGGGATGCAGATGTTTCGGGGGGCGGGGGGGCAGGGCCTTGACTGAGGTACACCCCTCCCCCAGCTCCTAGCACACCTCAGACAGGTGGACTGAACAGCAGAGAATGATTGATTCCATTCTCATCTAAGATCCTCAAGGACAGGGCGCCTGAGGCAGGGGCTCAGGCTGAGGCACGGGCTCCTCATCCCTCCCTCCCCTCTGCTCACCTTGACCAAGGCTGAGTGCAGGTAGATGTTGTGGGGCATGATGATGGCGCCAACAATGCCCACCGCCTGCAGCAGCTCAGGCTGACCACAGCCGGGGCAGGAGGGCAGGAACAGGCCCTGAAGAAGTGCTCCCTGGGATGGACGTGCTACCACATACTGTCAGAAGGAGCTTGGTCAGCCCACCTAAATCCACCCTCCTCCCACCCCATCCCCAAAGGCAGGCAAGGAGTGTGGCTGAGGGCTATCTCCCTAGACCCTCAGGCTACCCAGAAGGAAGGGAAGGGGGTGATCTTGAGGAAAGGGGTGTAGTTCTGATTTCCCACCTCGTAACCGAAGGTCAAAGCCATAATAGTAATAAGAAATCCAAAGAAAGCTTCCAACTTGCGCAATCCTAGGAGTATAAAACACAGACTCCAAACCCCTGTCGCATAAACACTGGCGGGTGGCTGTTTTGAGCACTTTGTCCCAGGCACTGGGCCAAGGGCTTAACATATATTTTCCTCACTGAAACCTCCCCACAGCCCTATGACGTCTGGGCTGTTCTTTCCCGTGTTACAGAAGATGAAACCGGAAACCCTTGCTCAAGGCACACAGCTGGAGGAAGGGGGACCCATAGCCCTGGGAGGAGCCAAGGCTCCATGAGGGCAGCCCTACCCACTCTTATCCCTTAAGAAGAAGGACTTTCTCTCACCATAGTTATCCAGGAAGAGGAAGAAGAATGTGTCCACGATGGTGATCAGGACGCCACCCCACAGGGGGATGCTGAAACCACATAGGTCGGATCAGTCCAGCCTGGTCCAGGTCTGGAGTTCCAACCCTCAGTGGGGAGTCAGGCACCCAAATGGCCCAGGCAGCTAGGGCGAGGGGAGTGTGGTGTGTGCTGAACATGTGTAGATACACCCAGGAAGGGCAAAACCAGGTAGAGGGATCAGGTGTGTTAGGGAGCCCTGGCCTGTGATTTGTGACTGACACATGTGTGAGTTCACATGTGTCGCCTTACATCCTGAGAAATAGATTCATACCAGCCCTATGTGTGAGGGAATAGGGTGATTAAAAAAAAAAAAAAAAGACATAGGAAGGCCCTCAGCTTGGGGAGACAACAGTGGCTCCCTCCGGCCTCGGACTGAGGTGGGCTCCCTAGCATGATACCGTCCAGCTGAGAGCAGGTTGAAGGAGATAGCTGTGCCGATGACTTCCTGCATGTCTGAGCCCACAATGGCTAGCTCGATGGTCAGCCAGAGGAGGGTGCGGGGCACCTATGGGGAGGAGATGTTGCTTCCTTAAAAGAAGGCTAGCTGGTTGGCATTTCCACTCCGCACTTGCTTTCCAGGGCTCTGCACTGAGCTGTGGGTCTGGAAGCCTGCAGGCTTCTACATTTGCCAGCTCGTTTTATAAGACAGCCGGGCGACGGTGGCGCACCCCTTTAATCCCAGCACTCGGGAGGCAGAGGCGGGTGGATCGCTGTGAGTTCGAGGCCAGCCTGGTCTACAGAGTGAGTTCCAGAACAGCCAGGGCTACACAGAGAAAGCCCCGTCTCGAAAAACCAAAACAACGAAACAAGACCCGCTTAAAGGAGTTTGTTGTGGTGTTTTTTGTGTCTCACGAGGGTTTGGGTGCTGGAAACTTGGTCTCATGTTGAGATCAGGCAGAGCCCTTTAGAGCAGAAGACAGAGCTGGTGACACAGGCCTGAGGTCCCAGAAGCTAAAGCAGGAGGGAAAGTAAGTTCAAGGATAGCCTGGGGCAGCTTGGTAAGACCCTGTCTCAAAGAAATAGTCAAGAGGGGCCGAGGACGGAGCTCAGTGTGACCGTGCTTGCCCTGGCACTGATGGGGCTCCCACCCCCCAAATACAGCCAAGCAGAAACTGGCACCTGGAACATGTAGACCTGTGAGCTAATCAGACTTTCCTGTTTTGTTTTGTTTTTTCTTTTTGTTTTGCCGTGCTGGAGAGTCAACTCAGGCCTTGTGTGTGCTAGGCATGCGCTTGGCCAGTGTGTGACACCCCAGCCTAATCTTTTCTTTGTTGGTTTTCTTTCTTTCTTTATTTTTTTTTGAGGGGGTGAAGTGGGATGGGGTGGAAGACAGGATCTCTTTAAGTATCCCTAACTGTCCTGGAACTCACTCTGTAGACCAGGTTGCCCTCAAACTCACAGAGAGCCACTTGCCTCTGCCTCCTGAGTTTAAAGGGGATTAAAGGGGTGTACTATTAACCAAACCTAGCCAGACATGATGGTGCACACCTTTAATCCCAGCACTCTGGAGGCAGAGGCATGTGGGTCTCTCTGAGTTCCAGGCTAGCCAGGCTTACACAGGGAAACTCTGCCTCTAAATAACTAAATGAAAACAAAATAAACTACCCAGCTTCAAGGACTCTGTTTTAGCAACGGACACAGACTAATTCCGACAGATGCTGAGAGGAACAGACCCCCTGCTCCCAGTGGCATTTTTGACAGTGATATCAGTGAGGATACTAGGTTCCAGTAGTTCTCATGGTTATTTAAGCCTGGCAGCAAGCTTCTAGAAGCAAATGACTGCTTTGGGGCGCCTATGGCGTGGGGAAGGGGTTATCAGCTTTACTGACACCCTTTGCCTTCCAACTTCCAACCCTTCTGATCCTGAAAGGGTTAAATCTGAAAAGGGCCGGAGAAGGGCTCGGTGGTAGATAGGAGCTCCTGGGTTCCATCTCCAAGCGTGCAAAAACAAAACAAAAAACAAGTGAATCAATACAACGAAAATCCCTCTGAAATACCTCACGGTGTGATTTGGGTGGTCTTGAGTGGATATCCACAACACCCAAGTTCCCCAGCCCAGCAGTGACCTCGCGGCCCTCAGCTGCTGGGGCTCTGTTTGTGTGCTATGAACTGAGCCTGTGTTTTCATTTGCCAGGGGGACCTGTGATGCCTGGGAGCTGGTGATGTCTTTATGTGATGACGGAAGCTATAAATAGCGGCTCAGGGTCTGAGACCCGTGGGGGCTTCCCGTCCATGCTCACCTTAGGGTAGTAGAGATGGCAGACTTCACCCAAGTCCTTGCCTGTCACCACGCCTAGCCGGGCAGCCAGCCTCTGGCAGAGTAAACCTAGCACCGTGGCCCAGAGCAGCACCCAGAGCAGCTGTGAGGGAACAGGGGAGACTCTCAGCCAAAACAGCGCTCCCGGGACAGAGAAGAGGTGTGGTGGAAAGACCACCCCCTACGGTACGGCCTCCTTTCTGGAGGGGCTTCCCTAGAGACACCTCCCCACCCCATTACACACCCCTCCCCCTGCACCTGCCACACTGAGCATGCTTGAACTTCATCCCTATTCCCAGGCAAACCAGCTTGCTGTGGAGAACTGGGGTCTTCACTCTCTTAGCCAAGACGCTCCCCTCCCTACAAAGCCACCGTAAAGGCCCAGATTCTATACTTTAAATCCTGCCACAGCACCAGCCTGAAGGTCCGACTCGATGTTGCCTGGGTCAAGGAAAGCGATGCTCATGAGGAAGCCAGGCCCCGTGAAAGCCCACAGTTTCCTCAGGCTGAACGTGCCCTGGTGGGAGTAAGCAGAATCAGGTCATCTCAGATGCAGGGGTGGGGGGTGGGGGTGTTAGTGGTTGCGGCTGGCCTCGGCCTGCCCACCTCGGCCAAACTCAGCAGGCATCTTCGGCCCAGGCTGGCCAGCCTGGTCCTCCATCACCCACCCAGTGCCCCCGCCCCACCCTGAGGAAGCAGTGCTGAGTCACTGTGGCTCTTGCCTTTTGGATGGGTCACGTTCTGCAGCTGGCCAGCACGTGACCTGTCTCTGCCCCTTGCAGACCTCAAGAGTCCCGAGAGAGAGGGACCTTGTTGTAGTTACACCTCCCTGTCCCAGCTCCTCCCTCCCCAGCCTTTCTCAGACCACAGGCCCTTCTCTCTGGGGAACCACTGAGGTCTCTCTCAGTCACCCAACCCTACTTCTGGGTTTGGCCTGTTGGTTGGTCTATGCATCTGCTCAGATGGTAGCAATAGAGACTGAGAATGGGTGCCTGGAGGGCAAGGTCACTTGCCACCAAGCCTGGAACCCACATAGTAGGAGAGAACTGACTCCCACAAGTTGTCCTCTGACCTCCACAGGCATGCTATAGTATAGGTATGGACACACCTATACACACACACACACACACACACACACACACACACACACGCACGCACGCACGCACACGCACATGCACATGCACACACACAAATGCACAAAAACAAATAAATAAATGTGATGCATTATAAAAAGAAAGAGTGTGGCAAAACTGGGTGACAGCATCCTAGAATCAGCCTGATACTTCTCTTTATCCATCACTTCCCTGGGTGGTCCCTTCCTCCAACGCTAAAATAGTCTCCAGGCTCTTTCCCCTCATGGGAAAGCTGAGGTCCTCTTGAGAACCCATTGATTATTTTTCAGATAACTACAGAGTACCCAGCTGGTCACGGTCATGGTCACAGAAGATGCCCCCTCCCCAGCCTGTAAGACCTCAGAGAATCTGGTAGACCCAGGAAGCTCTGAGGCCATTCCCAGCATTCCTACCTGCTCTGTGCTGGGGATGGGAATCTTCTCACTCAAGTAGGTCTCCTGGGGAGGCACAGGTGCTGTGCCAGGCAGGCTGGAAATAGAGCCATAGCTGGGCCTGCTCAGCCTCTGGGGGCTCTTGTCACCTGTGAGGGACCCCAGGATGCTAGGCGGGTGTGCACTTCTTTCAAGAGCCTAGGATTCAAGCTGCCTGCCTCCTCCACCACCACCTCCGCCCCTTTGACTGGCCATTTCATCTGTGTGTCAAGCAGAGGTTTCCAGAATCACTTCCCTCCCAGTGAGCACAGAACTTCTCCAATCCAAATCTCCTGAGTCAGGAGATTTGTGAGACATGAGGCCCAGAGAAGGGCAAGCCAAAGTCTCTAGCTCAGCTCCTTGGGGGCCCCCAGCTTAGCTGCTCGGGGGCCCATACTCCGCCTTCTCCATCAGTTTTAATCCAAAGAAGTGCCTGACTCCAGTGTGTCTGGCAGACCAGAGCCCCCACAGAGACCATAAGTCTTTCTTGCTGCCTCAAATCTCCCCCAGACTTGGTCTCCTCCTTCACCCTCCCCCACTGAAGTCACACTAAGTCCCACTCACGAATCATGAGGATGCAGGTGTCAGATGGGTGGCGAGCAGGCCCAGCAGCTTCTCAATCTGTCCCCGTCTATGGGTGCTGGTACAAGTGAGTAAGAGTCGGGGAACACACATCCTTCCCATCCTTGCCAGGCTTCCATCTCCACATCACCAAGGGCATGCCCACAATTTCACATAATCCATGTTTCGAAACACTCACCAAATGCAGAAGTGGCCAGTTGTGGCGGAAGGGGCTGGTAACCCACATTTTGACCCTTGCTCCTCTCCTGGCTACCCTGTCCTCCACAATACCTCTGGTCTTGTTCCAGGTACCCCAAAATTATCTCTGATTTCAGGTCTTTCTGCCTGTTGAGCAACATGGCTTGCAGCATTATTTGTAATAGCCAAAAGCTGGAATTTTCCAGCTGTCCATCAACGCGTGAGTGAATCACTACTTGGCAATAAAAGAAACAAAGCACTACCACATTTAATAACGTGGGTAAATCTTCAGGAAATTATACTGGATGAAAAGTTCAAAGCGCACCTGGGCTGCAGGCGGAGTTTAAAGTCCCAACAATTTAGTGAAACCCTGTCTCACAATGCAAAAGGAAGCCAAAGTAGGGAAGTAATTTAGTGGTAGTAGTTTAGAAAGTTAGTTAGTAGTTTAGAAAGCTGGCCTAGCACGTGCTTAGGTTAAAAAAAAAAAAAAGTCACTTTCAAAAGCTTACCTCTTAGTTCAACGTGGTAGCACGTGTCTCCAACCCCAGTACTCCAGAGGCTAAGACAGGAGAATAGTGAGTTTCAGGTGAGGCTTGCACACACCATACACACCAGGCTCTGCCACTGACCTGCAATTTCAGCCCTTGAGTTTTCAAGACAGAGTCTATGTGGTGGAGGCCGGCCTCAAACTCATAATCCTCCTACCTCTGCACCCTGAGTGCTGGGGTTATAGGTGTCACACCTGCCTTGAATCCGTGTGTGTGTGTGTGTGTGTGTGTGTGTGTGTGTGTGTGTGTGTGTGGAGAGAGAGAGAGAGACAGAGAGAGAGAGAGAGAGAGAGAGAGAGAGAGAGAGAGAGAGAGAGAGAGAGGAGAGAGAGAGAGAGAGAGAGAGAGGAGAGAGAGAGAGAGAGAGAGAGAGAGAGAGAGAAAGAGCGAGCCTTGGGGAAACAGGAGTTAACGGTTTTGTCAAGCTGGCTGGCCTCAGGATCCACCTGTCTCCCAAATTTCAGCTTTGCCTGGCTTTTTATATGGGTGCTAAGGATTAGCACTCGGTCTCTCACGGTGGCAGAGCAAACAGCTCTTACCCACTGAGCCATCTCCCCCGCCCCTGTGGGCCCATTTAAATAGTACTTTTACAAGGACAACATTCTAGAACCGAAGATCAGATCTGTGGTTGCCCCAGGTTAGGAACAGATCAGATGGAGGATAGATGTGGTTGTACAAGTGACTTAAAGGAGCCTTGTGGGGTTGCGATGTGGTAGATAGGGAAACCACATGTAAACCACTGTACAGGATTTAATGTACCCACGCGTCCGTGCACCCTTCCACAGCTAATGAGTCTAAGAGAAAGTGAGGACATTATGATCCAGGATAATGGTCCATGACATTGGGTCAATGTCGGTATTCCAACTATAGTAAAAGCAGAAATGCAAACAGACATTTGAACACCAGTTCCTAGCAACATTATTCACATTAGCCTGGGAGTGGAAAATACCCACGTGTGTGTCAACACATGGATAAATACAATATAGTATAGACATGCAATGGAATGTAATTTGAGATTAAAACATCGTGGAATTCTGATGCATTAGACAATATAGATAACCCCCCAAAACATCATGCTGGGCTGGGTGTAGTGCTACATGCCTGCCATTATGGAGCTTGGGCTGAGGATACAGGAGGATTACCATAAGTTCAAGGTCAGCCTAGGCTACAAAGTGAAGTTAAGACCAGCCTGGACTATAATTGTGATGGTCGACATCGGTTCTTTGGAACCCCAAATGTCATGAACACTGATGCTCACATTGGCTTCTTAGGTTTGCTCACCATTACGGTCTGAATGTTTGTGACCCCACAACATTTGTGTGTTAAAGTCACTACCAAGGTGATGATAGTATTAAGAGGCAGGACCCTTGGGGGTGTTGTTAGGTCACAAGGGCTCTGCGTTCATAAATGAGATTACTGCCCTTATAACAGAGACCTGAGGGGCTGTCTGGGATACTGTAGCTCATTTGGTAGAATTCCTAGTGGGTTCCATCCCCAGCATAAACAGGGAGTGGTGGCTCACACCTGAATCCAAGAGGTATAGGTAAGATGGCTAACCTATGCTTCCTAAGTCCCTGTCTCAACGCCCCCAAAACAAACAAACAAATAAGCAAACAAGCAAACTAACAAGTAAGCAGACCCGGGCTGGAGAGATGGCTCAGCAGTTAAGAGCGTGTACTGCTTTTGCAAAGGACCCAAGTTCAGTTCCCAATGTCCACGTCAGCCCTGTAACTCAGCTTTAAGGGATCTGACATCCTCTTCTGGATGCTCAGGGCATTGCATGTGCATACACACACACACACACACACACACACACACACACACACACACACACACACAAATAAAATCATGGTGTGTACCACCATGCCTGGCTAAATTTCTGTTTCTGTTGCTTATAGATTTCACAATTTATGTATCTTTGTCTTCATTTTCTTTTATATATATGTATACATACATATATGTGATATATATGTGTATATATATATATATATATATATATATATATATATATATATATATATATATATATCACATTTGAGATAGGGTTTCCATTCATCGACATGCTGACCTTGAACTCAAGATTCTCCTGCCTCAGCCTCCCCAGTGCTGGTATTACAGGCATGCGCCACCACACTGGGCTTGAGGTTTTTTTCTTTTCTTTTCTTTTTAATGTTTTAGATTTATTTTATTCATACGAGTGCCTTGCCTGCCTGCATGTTTGTGTACCACATGCACGCCTGGTGCCTGAGAAAGTGATGAGCCTTCATGTGGGTGCTGAGAATTGAACCTGGGTCCTTTAAAAGAACAAGTGCTCTTAACCCCTAAGCCAACTCTCCAGCCCTGGGGTATGTTCTTATAATAGTCTTGATGGACAGCAAAACCTTTCCGTGTCGTATAGCTGAACTACAGGCCCCTGTGGTGATTAAGCAGTAGAGCAATTTCAAATGGAGATGTCCCAGTGAAGCAGGGGTTGGTTTCATCGTGGTGAAGGTTACCAGGACACATGAGATTTAGTCAAAGGCTTAAGAAAGAAAGACCAATGGAGGACAAGTCTGCACCTTCAAAAGGATAAACAACCTGTATTTGTTCATTTCTGGCTTTCAGTAATAGGTCCTCAAAGGTAGTAGCTAGGTGCTCTACCACTGAGTTATGTCCCCAGCCTTCCCCCTGCCCAACACCTTTTTTTTTTTTTTAACTTATTTTTGGGACAAGACCTAATGAAATTGCTCAGGCTGACCTAGAATTCACTCTGTAGCTCAAGCAATCCTTGACTTTGCCATCCTCCTGCCTCAGTCTCTTAAGGAGCCTGGGTTACAGGACCATGCCACCATACCTAGCTCGGTAGAAAGCTGTGTTGGACGTATCCACTTTCCTATTCGCTTTGCTCAAGTCACTCCCTCTTCCTGAAATGTCTCTGTGCCCTTGACAAAAGCAATATCGATGTATAATATGCAATATTATAAAAGCCTTCAGAGCACTTCAGTTAGTCAGAATGAATTTTTTTTTTTTTTGGTTTTTCAAGACAGGGTTTTTCTGTGTAGCTTTGTGCCTTTCCTGCTTTCCTGGAACTCACTTGGTAGTCCAGGCTGGCCTCGAACTCACAGAGATCCACCTGGCTCTGCCTCCCGAGTGCTGAGATTAAAGGCGTGCGCCACCACCGCCCGGCCAGAATGAATTTTTAAGAAGGCAATTGCTAAACCAGGTGTGGTGGTCCAAACTTGCAATCCCACACTTGGGAGGCAGAAGCAGGAGGGTCACAAATTCAAGGCCAGCCTGCTGTTCTTTTTTTTTTTTCTTTTAATTTATTTGCTGTGGGAGGGGGGGGTGGCTGGAGAGATGGCTCAGAGGTTAAGAGTACTGACTGCTTTTCCAGAGGTCCTTGCTGCGAGCCGCAAAAATATACAAAGTAGGATTTCAGCTGATTATGACAAAGCTAATACCTGGAAGTAGCCAAGGGCCTTCCAGAGGCCAAGCTAAGGCTCAAGGAGCCTTGGTGATATTTGGCTTTTGATTATCAGCTGTTTTCTGCTATGAGTTTCTTGTGTGCTGTTGTAGCTTTTCCATCATTTATTGGGCACCTTATCCCCTCTACTAAAGGAATATTTAGATAACCTTCTGCACTGACAGCTATGCACAGCCAGAACCCCAGTTCAAGCCTCCTTGTAATTATCATCATTGGCAGCATCCAGCCAGGTCCATCCCCAGATGGAGGAAAGTACCTTATCAGAGATACCTCTGTACTCTCTAAAAACAGACTTAAGCATCCAGACTACCTGTTTGAGAAGGCCTGGGGATGTGCCAATTAAGCTTAACTTTCTCCTTTCCCAAATCTTACCTCTAGTTCCAGATCTCCCTTTAACTATCACCAGAGGCATCTAGCTGTACACAGGTTGCCTAGAGTCCGAGTACACTTTCTCCTACCCTGCAGATAAACGGCAGATAGCTTGGACAGATAGGAGCCACAGGAAAAAAAGAAGGCAGTTTTATTTTCTCCCATTGACCTAGCAACTTATAGATTCTTAACATTTTCTACCAATCATGTTTAAGACTATAGTTGAGCACATAAGATCCTTCTTCTTAGATATTACCTGAATTTAGCCTTTAGTTAATTCATTCCCCCATTAGTCACTTCCTTTTGGGGGTTGCAAATGATAATTAACAGTTATTGTCCCTCTATGTGATTCTTATCACCCCTCTGTTTGATCCTGGAAGCCTGGCTTTGTACTGCCAAGGGATTATAGCTTTTAAGTGTATATATACCAGGACTTTCAGGGCAAGGGGGGAACGGAGAAGAGAAAAGAGGATGGAAGAACTAGATGGGTAAGAACTTGAGAGGAGGGCTGGAGAGATGGCTCAGAGGTTAAGAGCACTGCTTGCTCTTCCAAAGGTCCTGAGTTCAATTCCCAGCAATCACATGGTGGCTCACAACCATCTGTAATGAGATCTGGTGCCCTCTTCTGGCCTGCAGAGATATGTGCACTGCATACATAATAAATAAATTAAAAAAAAAAAAGAATTTGAGAGGAACAAACTGAGATGGGAGAGGAGAAGGAGACGGGAGAGGAGATGATATGGGAAAGAACAAGATGGATGAGAACCTAGAAGGGGCAGAACTAAGATGAAGGAATTAAGATAGAACCTAGAGGGGACCACAGACAAGTGTAGAGAGAAATCAGGCAAGAAAGGAGCTAAATATGAGAGCAGAATATAAGCTTGTAACTGACACAGAGTAATAAAGTATATGGACTAAGGAGTTTCGTGTACATAGATTCACTTCTTTTCATCAAAGACTAATTATCAGCTGGTTGTAGATTCTTCCCGGACCCTGGGAGGGGACTATCGAGGGGCTGGACCCCGTAGTCCTTGATAGGTCCTGAGTTCAATTCCCAGCAACCACATGGTGGCTCACAACCATCTATAATGAGATCTGGTGCCCTCTTCTGGTGTGCAGGCATACATGCAGACAGAACACTGTACACATAATAAATAAATAAATCTTAAAAACAAAATTTATTTGCCGGGAGGTGGTGGCGCATGCCTTTAATCCCAGCACTCGGGAAGCAGAGCCAGGCGGATCTCTGTGAGTTCGAGGCCAGCCTGGTTTACAGAGCAAGTTCCAGGACAGGCTCCAAAGCTACACAGAGAAACCCTGTCTCAAAAAAAAAACAAAAAAACAAAAAACAAAAAACAAAAAAACCCCCCAAAAACCAACCACATCAAAAAAATTTTATTTATTTAGTTATTATGTATACAGTGTTCTGCCTGCAGGCCAGAAGAGGGCGCCAGATCTCATAACAGATGGTTGTGAGCCACCATGTGGGTGCTGGGAATTGAACTCAGGATTACTAGGAAGAGCAGCCAGTACTCCTAACTGCTGAGCCATCTCTCTAGCTCCCAGCTTGTTCTCACTGTGTAGATCAGGCTGGCCTCGAACTCACAGAGAGCTCCCTGCTGTTAAACCACCCAAGTGCTGAGATTAAAGGTGTGCACCACCACAAATGGTTACAGTGACTTCTAAGCCCACCTGAGCTATGGATTCTGTTTCAAAAAAAGAAGAAAATAATTGTTAATGCATATAAAGTCACAGGGCTAGTCAATGCAGCAATGTTTCTAATATCAAGAAAGGGAAGTTGAGGGTCGGGTGGTGGGGTGGTGGTATACCTTTAATCCCAGCATGTGAGAGGCAGAGGCAGGGGAATCTCTGTGAGTTTGAGGCCAGCCTGGTCTACATAGTGAGTTCCAGGACAGCCAGGACTGTTACACAGAGAAACTCTGTCTAAAACAAAACAAAACAAAACAAAACAACAACCAAAAAAAGAAAAGGGAAATGAAGGACTGGAGCCAGTCTGGGTGACTTAGGGAGATGCTGTCTCAAAGTATAAAATCCAGGTCAAGTATGGTGATTTTGTAATCTCAGCTCTTGGGAGGTGGAGGCAACTAAAATCCAGGTCAAGTATGGTGATCTTGTAATCTTAGCTCTTTGGAGGTAAAGGCAATCAATTAGAAGTCCATGTAGTCCTTAACTACACAGGGAGTTCAAAGCCAGTTTAAGCTATATCAGACTCTGTATCAAAAAAAAAAAAATCCAAAACAAAACCACACACACCCACACACTCTAATTTCTTTAAGTTTAATCTTCTTATAAACACATAATAAACTATGTAATAGAGTTTTGTTTTTTGTTTTTGTTTTGTTTTGTTTTTTTAGTTTTTCAAGACAGGTTTCTCTGTGTAGCTTTGGAGCCTGGGAGTCTGTCCTGGAACTTGCTCTGTAGACCAGGCTGGCCTCAAACTCACAGACATCCACCTGCCTCTTCCTCCTGAGTGCTGGGATTAAAGGCGTGAGCCACCACCGCCCGGCTGTAACAGAGTTTTAAAACAAACAATGCCCCCCCCCACTCCCCAGAAAAAGGACCAAGGACCAACAAAGAAAATGGAGTGTGTACCTCAGTGCTAGAGTGTGTGTTTAGCATGCATGAAACTACGGTGAATCCCTACCAACATAGAGAGAGACAGGGAAATAGAAGGTTGTAGTGGTATTAGACGTGTATTCTAAACACATTAATAGGCTGGGGATAGTGGTGTCCGCCTCTAATCCCAACATTTGAAAGGCTAAGGCTAGCCTAGAGTACTTGATGAGACTCTGTCCCGAGAGCAAACAAACTAAAATAAACAACAAAGCTAAAACACTGATGGATGAGCAAAGTCGTGTGTGTGTGTGTGTGTGTGTGTGTGTGTGTGTGTGTGTGTGTGTGTGTGTGTGTGTGTGTGTGTGTGTGTCTATGCAGGCCTCTAGATAGGGGAACTGAGATCATTTTATTGGTTATGGGTTTATCCCCCATCTGTTATGAGTTTCGGGGTGGGAGAGTTTCCAAGACTGGGTTTCTCCGTGCAGCCCTGGCTGTCCTGGAACTAGCTCAGTAGACCAGGCTGTACTTGAACTCATAGATCGGCCTGCCTCTGCCTGCCGAGTGCTGAGATTAAAGGCGTGCCCACCTGGCTTGTGAATGCATCTCTTTTTAATAAAGAAGGGGGGAAATGACATAAAAAGTTTTGCAAGGCTCACTGGGGTGGGGTGGGGAGGGGGGCGTCACTCACCTTTAATCCCAGCACTCGGGAGGCAGAGGCAGGTGGATCTTTGTGAGTTCGAGGCCAGCCTGGTTTACAGAGCTAGTTCCAGGACAGCTAGGGTTGTTACACAGAGAAACTATGTCTCAAAAAACTAAAAAAAAAAAAAAAAAAAATAATAATAATAATAATTTTTTGTAAGGCAGCAGCTCTCTCTGAAGTCTTCTGAAGTGGCTCCTCTGAGAGACAGACACCGCCTTCCCTTCATATCCCCCAGATTTGTAGCCAAGAATGACACCCTGGAGGTCCCCCAGAACCTCTCATCTCAAAACAGCAGAGCTGATGGCCGATGACCAGAGGCATTGATGGAGGCACAGTGCCTGCACCCCAACTACCAACTGCCTCGGAGGACCTTGCCTAACACTACCCAGCCAGCCCACAGCCAGCTTCAGATAGACAAGTCACTGGGCCAGAACTGGGGGCCAGCAAGGAACCTAGGGGTAGTGATGAGTACCTGTCTTTTCTTTTTCTTTTTTTCCCCTCAAAGGGTGGCTGGGGATCCCTTGCACAGTCTGGGGGAGTCTCATGTGTACTGGTGGATGGTGGACGACCTGAAGCATTAAGAAGCTGAGGGGGATATGGGTGTTCCACATCTCTCCTCACATTTCTGCAATCTTTCTTTTTCTTTTTTCTTTTCAGAGCTGAGGACCGAACCCAGGGCCTTGCGCTTGCTGGGCAAGCGCTCTACCACTGAGCTACATCCCCAACCCCTTCTGCAATCTTTCTACGCATTCTTTTCTTCGTGGTCATGACTATACTTAGATTCAGGGTGCTACTATAGGCTTTCCTGGCCAACTCCAGATTAAAACCCTGCTTCCTGATCTCTGTGCGCTCGAGGCCAGCCTGAGTTACCAAGTGAGTTCCAGGAAAGGCGTAAAGCTACACAGAGAAACCCTGTCTAGAAAAACCAAAAAAAAAAAAAACCCTGCTTCCCTACCTGCGGGATCTTACGCAGCCCATGCAGGACCGCACTGAAGGGAACTGAAGGGATCCACTTGCTTCTTTGCCAAGTGCTAGGATTATTGGTGGCGTGGGCCTTAGTTTTTCCCTCCTCACCGCCTCTTTTTTTTTTTTTTTTTTTTTTTTTTTTTTCGAGACAGGGTTTCTCTGTGTAGCTTTGCGCCTGTCCTGGGACTCACTCGGTAGCCCAGGCTGGCCTCGAACTCACAGAGATCCGCCTGCCTCTGCCTCCCGAGTGCCGGGATTAAAGGCGTGCGCCACCACTGCCCGGCCTCACCGCCTCTTACTTATTAACTGAATTGAATTTTGAGGCAGGGTCTTGCTGTGTGGCCCTAGCTTGAACGCACAGCGGCTTTCCTGTGTCAGCCTCCTGAGTGCTGGTTACAGGTGTGAGCCACCACCTCTGACTACAGGCCTTACTATTTCTTTTCTCCGGAACGGTTGTAACTGTGAACATAACATCTAGGAAGAAAGGCTGAAACTCGCCGGGTAAACGGAGTTAAAGCTTGGCATTTTTGACAGGAGGCGCTGCTGGCCAGAGGCAGTCGTCCCCGCTGGCTGGCGGAGCAGCCCTGGGGAAAGGACCCTGCTGCGGAACCCGCAGCCGGGATACCCGACCCGGCCAGTCCCCGGTCTCTGGCTCCCAGCCATCTGCCTAGTCCTTTTCCAGATCCAAACTCTGGAACAACAACTCATCCTTGCCATCGAGGTTGACATTTTCCTCCCCGGCTTCGTCGTTGTCATCGTCGACCTTGTAGCCGACTTCGTCATCGTCTCTGACGTCGCTTTCTTCGTCGTTGACGTTGTCGTCGACATCCTCGTTGTCCTCATCATCCTCGTTGTCTTCATCATAGTCATAGTCGTCATCGTCAGCGTACAGGTACTCCTCATCCTCCTCCTCTTCCTCCTCCTCTTCCTCCTCCTCTTCCTCCTCCTCCTCGTATTCCTCCTCCTCCTCTTCCTCCTCCTCCTCCTCCTCTTCCTCCTCCTCCTCCTCCTCTTCCTCCTCGTCGGAGTCCGGCGAGCGGAAAGGGCTGGGTCGGTGTGAGGAGCGCAAGGCAGGGATGGACGGGCGCAGCATGGCGTAGGGCCCGAAGTGCTCGGCGGCGAAGGTGACCACGTCCTCGGGCCGGCGGATGAGCAGGAAGAGCAGGAAGTCGGAGACCAGCGCTTCGGCCTCGGGGTGCTGCCGCAGATAGCTGGTGTGGCTGAGGCGGAGCTGCTCCTGGAGGAAGGGCATGGAGTGGTCCCCCACCAGGGCTGAGCACCGCCCGGATTGGCCAGGAGCGCCTGGGCTGGGATCCCCTTATCACCCGGACATGCGCATTTCCGCACTCCCCCCCCCCCCGCCCCCACCGTCCATCGCAGGAAAGCAGGTGGACCCCTAGGCTGGCTGCAGACACTTTCTCACCTTCTGGTTCAGGAATTTCGAGTATAGCTCCAGGTCTTCCTCCCACACCAGGGGCTTCTTATCAAACTGGGGCGGAGGCTCAATCACATCTGAGTGAGATGAGCAAGGGAACTGTGTCCACATCCCTCGTGTACACAGGGGGAATCCCAGGAACCCTCCAGTATGGGCTTTGTCGCTGAGAGGGACTCAGGGCAGAGGTCCATCCTACCCCTGGGAGTCTGAGGCTGGAGGGCTGCCGCCTCTCCACCCGGTTCAAGGATCCTGGCCCACCCCTAGCGCTGGATCCTTCCCGAACAAGAGAGAGGCCAGGCTCCTCCCATCGTCCCTTCACAGCCCCACCCTGTCCTGAGCCACTTACCCACTTCCCTCAAGAGTGGCATCTTGGTGATGATACAGCACCCTGGAGAGCCCACCTGGACTCTCTTAGCCAGGTGCCTGCAGAGCAATACAGAAGTTGGAGGAGAGTCTTCCTGTACCACAGGGTGGTGACCTACCGGTGCTGAGCAGAATGAGTTGTGGCTCATGCTCTCCCTCGTCTACCCTCCTATCCCCCAGTGTGATGGGAGCCTTCTGGGAAATGACTAAGGTCAAATGAAGGGCATAATGGTGGGGCTTTAATCAGAGGATTGGTGTCCTCAAAAGAGAAAGAGAAAGCAGAGAGAGCTGTCTATCTACCCACTGGCACACTAAAGAGAGGCAGAGTGGTGGGGGCAGCCAGAGATCTCACCAGGAACCAGCCCTGCGGGCCATTGTTCAAACCATCCAGTGACTTTTTTTTAAAACATTAATTTATCCTGTGTGTGCATGCACGCACACACGCCATGCATGCACATGCTTGTGTGGAGGTCAGAGGACACTTTGTAGGAGTTGGCTCTCTCCTTCCATCCTGTGGGTTCCAGGAATTGAACTCAGGTCGTCAGACTTGGCAGGAAGCTTCCTCACCACCTTCCCAGAGGAGCCACCCCTTAACTTGGGCCTGCCTTTTTTGGAGGAGGTTTTACTACTGTAGATGGCTCTCAGACTTAGGACCATCCTCCTGTCTCAGCCTCCCAAGTGCTGGGATGGCAGGCGTGAGCAGCTGTTCCAGGTTCATCTTGTGGTGTTTTGTCATGGCAGCCGGGGTAGGACACTACAGTGTCCCCATGAGAGCTGCCTTGAACCCCCTGTTTACTCTGCTTCCTCTGTTCATTTTTGTGGTCCTTGGGCCCTGTCCCAGATAACGGCAAGCATCAGGCCTTGCCTTAAAAAATAATGCACACGCCGGGCTGTGGTGGCTCACACCTTTAATCCCAGCACTCTGGAGGCAGAGCCAGGTGGATCTCTGTGAATTCGAGGCCAGCCTGGTCTACAGAGCGAGATCCAGGGACAGGGCACCAAAACTGTACATAGAAACCCTGTCTTGAAAAACCAAATTTAAAAAAATGCACATCTATATCCTAGCACCTAGGGTACTAAGGCAAGAGGACTGTGAATTTGAGGCTAGCCTGGGCTCACTTTTTTTTTTTAAAAAAAGCAGATGAAATGTCAAAGCAAAGGTACATCCAGATCTCAATGACAATGCTTCCTGGCAGTATCTTGGGAACAATGGTGACCCCTGTGCCCCATCCCACCCCATGAATGACCTTTCTTCATGGTCAGAGCACCAGACTTTACACGACACTGTCACCTCGGTCCTTCCCACCAGGGGCTCACCCGTCAGAGAGCAGGTAGAACTGGCAGGAGAAAGGGATGCCCTCTTCAGAGTGGACGGTTTGCTCCACAATGAACATTTCAGCCTGCTGGTGGCCCACTTGGATTGTCTGGAAGCCCAGGGATTGCTGGAGCAGCCAAAGTGGGGGACATGGTGAGGCGGTTGCTCTCCACAGTAGTGCTCCCGTCTCCTCAAGCCCTTTCCTGCTCACCAGGTTCATTCCGGCTCACCAGTGGTTATGATCCTTCCCAGTCCAGTTCCTCATGGGCCACAAAGTTTGAGTTACATTCTCAAGATAATCTGGGGATTCTTCACAGCGGGCTCCAGCCACCCCCTGCCACTCCCTTCCAAAGCTATCTCAGTGGAGGAGTGTTGCTTAGTTGGCACATTTTGTTACAGGGCACGAGGGCTCAGCGTGGGGAGGGTGAGGCTGTACACCAGGTGGACAGCGCTTTCTAAAGCTTTAGAAAACACTAAGCTGGACGGACATCTCTAATCCCAGCACTCGGGAGGCAGAGGCAGGCAGGACTCTGAGTTTGGGGCCAGCCTGGTCTACAGAGCGAGTTCCAGGACAGCCAGAGTTACACAGAAAAACCCTGTCTCAAAAAAAAAAAAAAAAAAAAAAAAAAAAAACAAGGAAGGAAAGAAAGAAACAAAGAAACAAACAACGAACACACACCTGAGATTGACCACTGTCCTCCACCTATACACACCTGCATGTACATTTGTGCTAGTGCACACCCACACACCCACACACATATACACAGAAAGTCAGGTGTGGAGGTGCACACACACACACCCACACTCATATACACAGAAAGTCAGGTGTGGAGGTGCACATACACACCCACACACATATACACAGAAAGTCAGGTGTGGAGGTGCACATACACACCCACACACATATACACGGAAAGTCAGGTGTGGAGGTGCACACACACACACACACATATATACACAGAAAGTCAGGTGTGGAGGTGCATACCCACACACCCACACACATATACACAGAAAGTCAGGTGTGGAGGTGCACACACACACACACACACACACATATACATAGAAAGTCAGGTGTGGAGGTGCACACACACATATACACACATATACACAGAAAGTCAGGTGTGGAGGTGCACACACACACACATACACAGAAAGTTAGGTGTGGAGGTGCACACACACACACATACACAGAAAGTCAGGTGTGGAGGTGCACACACACATATACACAGAAAGTCAGGTGTGGAGGTGCACACACACATATACACAGAAAGTCAGGTGTGGAGGTGCACACCCACACACCCACACTCATATACACAGAAAGTCAGGTGTGGAGGTGCACATACATACCCACACACATATACACGGAAAGTCAGGTGTGGAGGTGCACACACACACACATACACAGAAAGTCAGGTGTGGAGGTGCACACACACACACACACACACACACATATATACACAGAAAGTCAGGTGTGGAGGTGCATACCTACACACCCACACACATATACACAGAAAGTCAGGTGTGGAGGTGCACACACACACACACACACACACATATACACAGAAAGTCAGGTGTGGAGGTACACACACATATATACACACATATACACAGAAAGTCAGGTGTGGAGGTGCACACACACACACACATACACAGAAAGTCAGGTGTGCAGGTGCACACACACACACACACACACACATACACAGAAAGTCAGGTGTGGAGGTGCACACACTCATATACACAGAAAGTCAGGTGTGGAGGTGCACACACACACATATACACAGAAAGTCAGGTGTGGAAGTGCACACACACACATATACACAAGAAGTCAGGTGTGGAAGTGCACACACACACATATACACAGAAAGTCAGGTGTGGAAGTGCACACACACACATGCACACATATACACAGAAAGTCAGGTGTGGAGGTGCACACACACATATGCACAGAAAGCCAGGTGTGGAAGTGCACACACACATATATACACAGAAAGTCAGGTGTGGAAGTGCACACACACACACATATACACAGAAAGTCAGGTGTGGAAGTACACACATGCAATTGAAGTCCCAGCATTTGGGAGGTTGAGGTAGGAGGATTGAGAAGTTAAGGCCAGTTTGGGCTAAAAAACAAAACAGAAACAGAAACAAACAAACAAACAAAAATTTTTAAATGTTGGAAAAATATAAAGGTGTCTCTTTGGACCGAGGTGTAGTTCAGTGGTGAAACATTTGCCGAGCACTTTCAAAGCCCTAGATGATGTGTGATTTTTGTTGTTGTTGAGACAGGATCTCATGTACCACAGGCTAGCCTTGAAATAAATAGGTAGCTAATGATGACTCCGAACTCTTGCTCCTTCTGTCTCTACTTCCCAAGTACTGGAGTTATAGGCACATGACACCGTGATGCCTGGCTTTAGATGATGTAGAGCGTGTGTGCGTGTGTGTGCGTGTATGTGTGTGTGTGTGTATGTGTGTGTGTGTGTGTATACATGTTCATGCACACATGAAGGTGTATATGTGCTCGTGGGTGCACATGCGTGTGGATGTTTGGCATGTATGTGCATGTGTGCGTGTGTGTGTGCGTGCGTGTGTGTGTGTGTGTGTGTGTGTGTGTGTGTGACTGAGAACAACTTCTAGTGTTCTATATGAGCTGTCCACCTTGTTTTATTTTCCTTTAAATATTTATTTTTATGTTTTATGTATATGAATGTTTTGCCAACATGTACATGTCTATATGTACACATATATACATATATGCATCACATGTATGCCTGGTGCCCTCAGAGGCCAGAGAAGGGTATTAGATCCCCTGGAATATGGGTTACAGAGGGTTGTGAGTGGCCCTGTGGGTGCTGGTAACTGATCCCAGGTCCTCTGCAAGACCACTGAGTCACCCTACCCCCACCCAGGGCCTTTCCCTGGGACCCGAGGCTGCCTGATTCGGCCAGGCTGTCTTCACCTCTCCAGTTCAGGGACTGTAAGTGCGCACCACCTGTATGGAGTTGGGGGCGTCAAGCTCGGGTCCTCCTGTTTGTGTCACTGAACTGTCTCTCCAGCCTTAGGGGATGTGTTTTTAAAAAGCAGACTTCCATTACATTTCCTTCTTCCGTATGGAAGCTCGTGCAAAGACGATTGTTTCCCACCTTCCCGTTCCCCACTGACTCCACCCGGTCCGTCCTCAAACCTCCGCTCTTTCTGCATTCCATCCTCATGACTGAATACCCACCCACCTTGGTAACCACTCCCTCCTTCACATCTGCTTCCCCACCTCCGTGACCCTTCTAGTTTGCCCCCGGGCCCAGAGAGATGCTCACATAGGTGCAGTGGCACAGTCTGCCCTCCGCGTCCAAGGCCAGGAAGCGAGCACCGCTGGGGACCGACTGCCGCCAAGCCATCACCCTCAGAAGCACCAGGTTGGCCGTATTGGAAACAAAGCCGTTAAGTGATTGGCAGGGGAAAACAGAGACTCCAGTCTTCGTTTCCTGTTGGGGGAAGATCTGAGTCAGAGACCTGGCGCTCAGAAGAGGCGGCCGCAGGTGTTGGGTTCAAGCCGGGTGTTGGGTGTGTGGTCCATCTCAGGGCCCTTGGCCTGGGCACCGGGCCTCCCACAAGCTCGTCCCTCCCTGCTGTGGTTCTAAGGATGTGGGAGGTGGTTCCCACTTGGCTTTCGCTCTTACCTCACCCTCCTTGACACTTCTGGTCACAACCAGCTGGTCATCCTGCTTCAGAATGCTCATCTTCCGTTCCATGGGGAGGACGGGGAACTAAAGGCCAGAGGACATGGGAGAATCGGGTGCTCACCCTGGAGGAGCTGGCACTCAACCCGTCTTCCTTTGTGCTTGTTTGCGTTTTGATTTCCTGAGACAAAGTCATTCGGAGTAGCCTGGAACTCCCTGTGTAGCCCAGGATAGCCTGGTACTTGCAGCAATTCTCCTGCCTCAGCCTCCCAAGCACTGGCAAATATAGTCAGTCTTTTTATTTATTTATTTATTTATTTATTTATTTATTTATTTGTTTGTTTGTTTGTTTGTTTATTTCTGAGACAGGGTTTCACTGTGTAGCCCTGGCTGTCCTGGAACCCACTCTGTAGACCAGGCTAGCCTCGAACTCACAGAGATCTGCCAGCCTTTACCTCCTGGAATTCTGGGATCAAAGCCATGCACCTCCACCACCCAGCTTCAGTTGTACGCTTTATAGAAGACAAAATAGAAGCGTAAAGACTTGGATCTAAAATAAAAAATGATAATCAGGGCCAGCAAGATGTCCCAGTGGGTAGAATATTTTCTACAGAAGTCTGACAACTTGAGTTGGAGGCTGGATCCTACAGTCTTTGATGGAAGGAGAGAATCAACTCCCAAACTTTGTCCTCGGACTGATTTCCACATTCGTGTTCTCCTCTAAAATAACAAAAATGTAAAGGTGACAAACAGCTGGCCAGGGTGATGCACGCCTATAATCATAGCATTTCAGAGACAGAGGCAGGAGGATTAAGCTGGCGCCCAACCTTGTCTACACAGTCCCTGTCTTGATAAAGCAAAAAGATAAAAATAAGAGACAAACAGATGAACAAAAAGTCTCATAGCCTGATGTAGTGGTTCAGCACTTGGAAGGAGAAAGTGGGGGGATCAGGGGTTCAAAGTCATCCTCAGTGACATGTCAAGCTTGAGGTCAGTCTGTCTCAAAAGCAGGAAGGAAGGGCTGGGCAGTGGTAGCACATGCCTTTAATCCCAGCACTCAGGAGGCAAAGGCAGGTGGATCTCTCAGTTCGAGGCCAGCCTGGTCTATAGATCGAGATCCAGGACAGCCAAAGCTACACAAAGAAACTCAAAAAACAAAAAAAAAAACAAAAAAAAAAAAAAAAAAGGAAGGAAGGAAGGAAGGAAGGAGGAGAAAAGAAGGAGGAGGAGGAGGAGGAGGAGGAGGAGAAGAAGAAGAAGAAGAAGAAGCCCTTCCATTTATGATGGAGGGCAGGAATAGGGCCATACTATGTAACAGGAAAGCAAACAGTGTTACACCTCCAAACAGAACACAGGCTTGAAGCTGGGAATAGATTCTCTGAGAAGGCTGCTAGGCCCAAGTCATCTCCCATGTTTAGCTAGGTCAAGGCCCCATAGAGGAAGTTATTGAAGAGCTGGGTGAGGGGTATAGAGACAGAAGATTTAAAGGTTAAGTGGTGACAGGCTCCAGGGACTAGCCAGGCTCTGGGAAAGGCCAAGTCACATGGCCCTGGGAAATGGACAGGCTTTCAGGCCTGAGCAAGCCCCAGTGGGCTGGGCTCCATTTGTGACTCCATAGAACATTGCCGGCCGTACTGGAGGTGACTGGTCATCAAGCTGTGTGTGATAGGTTGATGGTAGACAGTAGTGTGCTGTATTCTCCTGGGGTCCCTCCCACCCGTGAAGGGTCTGTGTTCTTGCTTACTCTCGACCCAGGGGCAAGGCCAGGGGAGGCTGGGAGTAAGTACCTTGATGAATTCCTGGCTGTGTTGCTCCATTAGCTCCAGTTTATTGGTTAGGTAGCCTGGGGTATAGGGAGGCAAGTGCTGTTGTCACAGGAGACAGGAGTCTAGGATGGACCCTTAGGGAAGGTGCTGGCCCAGGCTGGTGCAATGTGGCCATGGGAGAATGACCGGGTGGTCGTCACTGCCCTTGTCCTCCCCCTCCCCCCGTGCCTTGCCCTAGTCCCCAGGTAAGTCAAGGGCTGCAGGTCACATGGACTGGAGGGGGGCCCTTGGAGGGAAGATGTGGTACCGGGCAGCTGGCAGCTGAACTCTACCTAGGAGGGAGCTTCCACACAGTGATTTATCTACGTAGCCTCGGCTGGAGGCGTGAACCACCACACAGTGGGTCAAGATGCCCTGGTCATCTCTGTACTTCCCTCGCTGCACATCGATGGTCAGCTCTCCCTGCGGCACCCCTGTGTCTGAGACGACGGCCAGCGTCTCGGGGAAGAACAGCAGCAGTTCCTCCACCCCTGCGTGGTGAGAGACGCCTTCTTCAGGCCCATCCTCCAGACCCTCAGCACCCACTCCCCCCTTGCTGTGTCTGCCGTCTCCCCCCCCCCGCCCCCCCCGCCCCCCCCCCCCATCATCGGCTGGTACCAGCTGGTGAAGAGCACGCCCTCCCCACCCCCCCAGGCTTGTCCTTCCACAAACATTAGCAAATAGGTATCTGTCAGGTCTTTTCTGAGTCTCAAGAGAATCAAGCTGGGAGAGAGAGAGAGAGAGAGAGAGGGGACCCGTCTAGGCATCCTCTCTTCCTTTCTCCCCAGACTCACACCCCTTCCCATGCCCACCCCAACCCTCTGGCTCACGGAAGGAGTTAAGAAAGTTGATGGCTTCATCATTGGCCTCTGGGAGTGGCTGTTGCTCATGCGGCGGCCGGGCCGGCGGTGGTGGCCGGCTTACCTGCTGGTCCTTGACTTTGGAGCCTACAAGAAGAAGGAGAAGCTCAGATGTCAGACCCTGGGGAAAAGGGCAGGGTAGGCAGGGGCACCTTGGTCCTGATCCCTGTCCCCAGGAGCTGAATGTACTAAGACCACGCTCGGGTAAGATGGCAAGGGAGAAATAGCCCTTCTCCTCCTACCCACAGATCAGCAGCCCATTTCCCACCTGAGGGGGAAACTTTGGAAGACATGCTGATTGGGATCAGTCAGTCTGCGGCTAGATGTCTCCATGGCAACCAGAAGCTAGGTACTGCCCCTTAAAGGGCTATCAACCTGCTTTACCGAGCCTAGATCGACAGACAAGGCTTTGGAGCTTAGCCCAAGCTTTAGGGGTTGTCCAGCAGAGGGAGCCTGTGACACTCTTAAGAGGCAAGGGGAAACTGGTTATTACAACTTTCTTGGAAGTAACAGACTAATGGGCTGGAGAGACGGGCTCAGCTGTTGAGAGCACTGGCTACTTTTCCAGAGGACCTGGGTTTGATTCCAAGCGCCCACATGATGGCTGATAACTGTCTCCATTTCTGTGGGATCCAACTCCCTCTTCTGGTCTCTGTGGGCACCAGACTCATACGTGGTGTATGTCCATACATCCAGCAAAACACCTAAATACATAACATATAACAAGTAGTGGACTCATGCCTGTAATCCCAGCACTCCTGACTCTGGGGAAGGACCATCAGGAGTTTAAAGCCGGACCCTAAGCCGGGCGGTGGTGGCGCACGCCTTTAATCCTAGCACTCCGGGAGGCAGAGGCAGGCGGATCTTTGTGAGTTCGAGGCCAGCCTGGTCTACAGAGCGAGATCCAGGAAAGGCACAAAGCTACACAGAGAAACCCTGTCTCGAACCCCCCCCCCAAAAAAAGCCAGACCTAGGCTCACACACAGAATCCATCTCAAGGTTGTATGACTATCTTTGTGAGCTATAGCCATAATATGGATAGTCTCCAACCTCCGATGGCTCAACCTCCCAGTCATTCATCGCCTTTGTGATGGTGGGGAAGCCATGTACATTCAGTAGAAACTTATTTCCAGTTCCCGGGCCCACCAGATGATGTTCATCTTTCCCACAAGCTGCAACTTTCAGCCAGCCAGGCGGAGCAGCCTATACTCTGCAGAGGACTGTGTGGCTGACTCATAGCTTGCTCCATGTCACCTTACTGTACTGTCATCTCATGGCAAGTTCTCGGAGATCTAACCTTCACAAGCAGAGGAGCATTCATACATGTAGGCATAACAATGATGGCACTGAGAGGCATAGCAACTCATTGGTTGGTTGGGCTTTCGTTGTTGTTGTTTGGGGACAGGGTCCTCTCTGTATATATAACCCTTGCTGTCCTGGAACTCACTGTGTAGAACAGGCTGGTCTCGAACACTCAGAAATCCACAAGGCTCCTGAGTGCTGAGACTAAAGGCATGTGCCACCATACTGAGCTTTTTTTTTTTTTTTTTTTTTTTTTTTTGGTTTTTCGAGACAGGGTTTCTCTGTGTAGCTTTGCGCCTTTCCTGGATCTCGCTCTGTAGACCAGGCTGGCCTCGAACTCACAAAGATCCGCCTGCCTCTGCCTCCCGAGTGCCGGGATTAAAGGCGTGCACCACCACTGTCCGGCTAGATAAGTTCTTACTATGTAGCTCAGGCTGGCCTAGAGCTTGTCGTTATCATGCCTCTAGTTTCCAAGTTTGGGGATTACAAGTGTGTACTACCATGCTTGGCTGACATGCTTTATTACCTCAACTTTGTGGATAAGAAAACTAAGGCATGGAGAGACTCAGTGGCTTCCAAACATCGCATAGCTGATCCTTGACAGAGCCAAGGCACGACCAGAGGCAGTTAGACTTGAGTCTACGCATTCAGGCAGCAACTGGGTAGGATGGTGGTGATTCCAGCACTTGGGAGGTCCAGGCAAGAGAATCAGAAATTCTGCTACCTATTGAGTTTGAGGCCATCTTGGGTTGCATGAGACTCTGTCTCAAAAAAATGAAAACAAATCCAGGCAGTAGTGGCACTCACCTGTGGTGATGTGTTGTGTACCCTAATAAACTTGCCTGAGGATCAGAGGACAGAGTCAGCCACTAGATTAGACATAGAGGTCAGGCAGTGGTGGCACACACCTTTAATCCCAGACTTGAGATCTCATGCCTTTGCTTGGGAAGCACACATGCTTTTAATCCCAGGAAGTGATATGTCAGGGCAGAGAAAGGTATATAAGGCGTGAGGAAACAGGAACTCACTCTCTTTAGACTGAGGATTTTGTAGAGGTAAGAACTAGTGGCTGGCTGCTCTGCTTCTGCTTCTCTGATCTTTCAGCTTTCACCCTGTTATCCAGCTTTGGGTTTTTATTATAAGACCATTTAAGATTCAAACAACACGCACCTTTAATCCCAGCACTTGGGAGGCAAAGGCAGGCAGATCTCTGAGTCTGGTCTACAGAGTGAGTTCTAGGATAGCCAGGGCTACACAGAGAGACCCTGTCTTGAAAACAAAATAAAAATAAAAATAAAAAAACAAACAAAAAAAAAGAAAAAAAGAAAGAGAGAGAAAAATTTATTACATTTCTTGTATTTATTTGTGTATGGGGGTGCATGACATTGCATGTATCTGGCGATCAGAAGATAACTTCTGGGAGCCAGTTTTTTTTATTATTATTTTTTATGGTCTATTTCTTTTTTTTCATTTTTCTTTATTAAGAAATTTTCTACTCACTCTACATACCACCCACAGATCCCACCTCCTCCCTCCTCCCACCCCCCAGACCTCCCTCCCAAGCCACCCCACATCCCCACATCCCCCAAATCAAGGTCTCCCATGGGGAGTCAGCAGAGTCCGGCACACTGAGCCTAGGCAGGTCCAAGCCCCTCCCCACCGCACCAAGGCTGTGCAAGGCGCCACACCACAGGCACCGGGCTCTGGGAACCAGTTCTTTCCTTGTGTCACGTGACTCAGATTGTCAGGCTTGGGACCAGGTGCCTTTACTAAAAGATCCATCTTGCTGGCCATTTTTAAAATTACATTTTTAGCTAGTCATGGTGGTACACATCTTTAGACCCAGTATTCAGGAGGCAGAGGCAGGTAGAACTCTGTGAGTTCGAGGCCAGCCTAGTCAACAGAGGGACTTCCAGGCTCAGCCAGAACTACAGTTTGAGATGACCTCTCTCCCTCTTTTTTTATCTGCTTTGGTGTTTTGCCATGGATGTCGGGTCCCCTTAAACTTCGGTTACAGACAGCTGTGAGCTGCCCTGTGGGTGCTGGGAATTGAACCCAGGTCCTCTAGAAGAGCAGTCAGTGTTGTGGGTTTTTTCTGTTACACAAAACAGAGATTCTGGGGCTGGAGAGATGGCTCAGAGGTTAAGAGCACTGACTGCTCTTTCAGAGGTCCTGAGTTCAATTCCCAGCAACCACGTGGTGGCTCACAACCATCTGTAATTTGATCTGGTGCCCTCTTTTGGCATGTAGGCAGAACACTGTATACATAATAAATAAATATATAAATCTTAAAAAAAAAACAACAGAGATTCTGTACTTAGGAAATCATTGCTCTATATTCCTTTCTTCTCTGTCTTGAGATAATGTCTAATCTTTCTGTCTTTATGAATTTGTATATTCTGTATATTTCATGTAATACTGTTCTATAGTATTTGTCCTTTTTTTAAAAAATGTAGCCGGGCGGTGGTGGTGCACGCCTTTAATCCCAGCACTCTGGAGGCAGAGCCAGGCGGATCTCTGTGAGTTCGAGGCCAGCCTGGGCTACCAAGTGAGTTCCAGGAGAGGCGCAAAGCTACACAGAGAAACCCTGTCTCGAAAAAACCAAAAAAAAAAAAAATGTAAAAACATTTTATATACAACTGCAGGAGAAATAATACTCAGATAGCCTGAACATAAAAACAGCTTATAATTTAAAAGTCCAGGGTTATTTTAAACAGTAAAATATTTTCTCTGTAGAAAATAGTATAAATGATAACATTTCCCAATAAACCCTTTTAAGCCAAATGATAGCTGAAATATATATATATATATGTATATATATATATATATGTATATGTATATATGTATGTATATGTATGTGTATATTGATTAGATTCTGGGATACAGAAGAGACCTATCTTCATCTATGTTTTACTTAAGTTGTGTAAGTGAGATTCCTATTCATCTTCCCCTTCACTGTTTGATTTACGGCAGACATTTTTCTATAGGCTAATCCATAATCTAAAAAGATTTTAGCCTCCCCGCCTGAAAGTACAGTCAGCTTTTTCTTTCATCAGCTGGATACAATATAAATTCTTATCCTAATAGTGAAATGTTTCACTAAAGCTTGCCCAGTGATTGGGTAAAATCAAAACTTATTAGAAGCCACAGTCATCCTAGGGTCCCCCCTGCTAGGTAGCGTCTCTGGATCTGTGGGTTGCAGTCTGATTGTCCTTTGCTTTATATCTAGTACTCACTTATGAGTGAGTACATACCATGTTTGTCCTTCTGAGCTGAGACTACCTCTTTAAAAAATATTTGTAGTGAGTAGCAGTTTGAGCCATGCCCTGAAGCACTGTCCCTAATGAGGCAGCTGTACCTGTTACAGCTTGAGGTACCTGCCCCTAGGGTGTGGCCACCAGAGACCCTTAAAAGCTGGGATGCACGTAGGCCCTCTCTTGGCTACCTTGTGGTTTTGGATACTGAGATCTTGGACCAAGCTGTTCAGCATGTTACATAGCTCAGCTTTCCTGGACCCTATGATAAATCTCCTGTGATTGTGAGCTACCCCCAAATATATTGCTTTGATCATTAAATAGACTCCATGGATTAATCCCATTAACTATTTTTTAATTTAAAATTAAAAAAGCAAGCCATATTGCTTTCATAATATGAATTTATGTAAAGTTAGACAAAAAAATCCTCCTTTTTGGTCTCACCAATACACTCCAATTTCTTTTTAAAGTTAGGATGTCGTGTGTCTTAGGTTGGACCAGAATGCCTCATGTAGTTGTGGAATTTCAGTGCTCAGAGCAAGCTTCTTGTCTTGGTATCACCTTCATCACAGATGATGCACCCAGGTTTAGGAAGGCCACCTGCCCATCAAAAGGAACATGGACTCCAACCTGCCAGGGCCTCCAGAGTCCTTGCTCTTTGTTTGTGACACGGCCTCACTATAAAGCCCTGGCTGGCTTGGAACTTGTTATGTAGACAAGTCTGGACTCAAAATCACAGCGATCCCCCTGCCTCTACCTCCCAAGTGCTGGGATTCCAGGCCTGTGCCACCACACCTGGCCATAGCTCTTGTTTTGAACACTTTGCTGTAGTGCCCAATGGACTGGCCCTGTGCTTGTTCCTATACTGGTTGAAGGAGATATTGCTCCATGGCTGAATGACACTGTGCATCTCTTGGAGTTCTAAGCAGTCTGCAAAACCCAGTGACAGTCACCTGTCTTGGGTTGCATTCAGTCAATCAGAGGCAGAACTTATCTTTGCATCCAGATCAACCCAACTTCAAATGCCCTCTCTCATTTGACCTGAACTTGGCATGTATGGACCTTCAGGATCAGGTTCTCATCCAATTTGTTTTTCCTTTTTCCTTCCTTTTTTTTTTTTTTTTTTTTTTTTTTTCTTTAAAAACAGGTTCCCTTGTATGGATCTGGCTGGCCTGGAATTCATTATGTAATCCAGGCTGGCCATAGGCATCCACCTGCCTCTTCCTTTTCAGTGCTGGAATTAAAGGTGTGCTCGGCCATGCCGGGTCTTCCACCAGATTTCAGTGGTTTTGCTCTGTGAGCATGGCTTCAGAAATCAAGATGGTTCCCCCCTCCACTCACACACTCACATATGCACACACACACACACACGTATGCATATGCACACACACTGACATACACATGGCTTCCACATTCATTTCTGCAATGTGGGAAAAGAAATGAACAAAAACGAACCATTTGCTGGTTACATTTGAAACTGTGTGTTATTCAAACACCTTTGGGGTCAGTCCATGTGTTCACCTCTATTTCCCTCCGAAGAGCCCCAGAAATCTGAGGCAGCCCCTTTCAAAGTGGCTGCAAGTACCTCTCCCTTCCAAGGCTCCTCAAAAGCCTCCAGCGGGAGCTGGTGGGAGCTTATGCTTAGGTGGTTGGGCATTGCTTCTAGTAGGGTCCGTCACTGCCGTTTGGGACTCCTCCTCCCCCCCCCCCCCCCCAGTTCAATGTTATAATGATGGGAGTGATAGAGCCCATCCTTGGTCATGTGACCCAAGATGGACCAATAGAACTCCACTCCTGGAACTAAGGGAGAGTCTGCTAGGCTTGATGAACTGGTAGCCTGTGAGGCTGAAACTTCTAGAGACCATCTGTGTCCTGCAAGGAGAAAGACCGATAAGGGCAGAAAGGAATACAGAGGAAAGCGGAGATGAACAAAGATACTCTTATTTATTTATTTTTGTTTGTGGTTTAAAAAAAAAAGTCTTTTGGTTTGCTTCTTGTTGCTGGTTGAGACAGAGTAGGCCAGAGACACCTCCATGTAGCCTCCAGTTCACCACGTGACCCAGGCTGGCTTTGGACTCCTGACTCCCCTGCCTCTGTCTTCTAAGTGCTGGGATTATTGGTGTGTGCCACCACCCTGGTACTGCTGTTATGAGACAGGGTCTCGGGATGTAGTCCAGTCTGGCCTCAAACCTGTAATCCTCCTGCATCTGCCCCCTAATGAAGATACTCTGAATCCCTGGCTCTGCCCGTGCCTAAAGTCCTCATGATGTGACTTCGAGTATCTCAATTTCAGGTTGCCTTCCCAAGCCATGGAGATGATGTCTCTCTTATAGTCTCTTATAGAAAATAAGACAGGGAAATTACTTGCCCAAGACATTGCCAAGCAGAACAGAGTGGGGACTGATCCCCAGGGTCTAAGGCTGAAGTCACCCACTGTCCGATGAACAGAAAACTCATGGTATGATTGTCTGGGAAGCACCAGCTGCAAATGTACATGCTCACCTATCATTCAAAGTGGATAGTCAGGTCGGAGGATCCCCAAGGCCCGTGGAAATGCTTCCCCAGCCCAAGAACTATCAATGAAAGCTCCTTCCATTGAGAATGCCCAGAGTGACTGTGGTCGAGGACCTGGGGCTCATCCACTTAGGACAGCAGTGAGCCAAACCCATCGCAGAGCTAGTCTGCATGAGGAAGGTGAGAACTGTGGCCCATCCCATGCCTAAGACGGAGGCTAACCTCTGCCAGGGAGGGAAAACCATTCTTGCCTGGCCTGGTATGGTACTGTACCAATGTGCACTGCTCTTCAACCATTCAAGGCCACCTATAGGTGTATTACCACAGCTAGGGGTCACTTTACCTCATGTTTTCCTTCTTTTTTTTTTTTTTTTTTTTTTTGAGCTGAGGATCGAACCCAGGGCCTTGCGCTTGCTAAGCAAGCGCTCCAAGCGCTCTTCCACTGAGCTAAATCCCCAACCCTCATGTTTTCCTATTTAAGAAATATCTTGAGAAACCCTGTCTCGAAAAAACAACAAAATAGTGCTTGCTTGGCCTGGAGAGATGGCTCAGTGGTTAAGAGCACTAGCTGCTCTTCCAGAAGACCAGGGTTCAATTCCCAGCACCCACATGGCAGCTGAAAGCTGTCTGTAACTCCAGTTCCAGGGGATCTGATGCTGTCACACAGACATACATGCAGCCAAAACACCAATGCACATAGAATAAAAATAAACAGATCGCCAGGTGGTGGTCGCACACGCCTTTAGTCCCAGCACTGGGGAGGCAGAGGCAGGTGGATCTCTGTGAGTCTGAGGTCAGTCTGGTCTACAGAGCCAGTTCCAGGACAGCCAGAGCTACACGGACCCTATCTCGAAAAACCAAAATAAAGAAAAAGAGACAAGCTGTAGCCAAGGCTGTGCTCCTAAAGCGCTCTTCATTGCTGGACTGTGGCTAGTGGTGAGCTGTGTGTCTCAAGCTGAGGGAAAGACTGGGGTACCCACGTGGCAGACTCTGAACCAAAACACATGGGCTGTGGAAGGAATATGTGGAGGGCATTGTTTCTGGGCTGTTCTGGTGCTACTGGGGATTGAACCCTGGGCCTAGTCCGTGGACAGGCTGTTAGTAACCCTCAGTTCTGAGACCTGGAACAAGCTCTCTGTTGCTGTTAGGCATGCAGCAGCACAGATAAGTCATTGAGTTAAATCATTCATTCAACATTTATTGAGCGCCTACTGTGTGCCAGTGCACCGTGCTAGGCGCAGAATACGAGATGCAGAAGATACAGTCCATGCCCTTAAGGATTCACAGTCTAGAAGGGGAGGCGAACATGTAAACAAGTAAAATAGTGTGATGGGTGCCACGAGAGAAGCATTTACAAGGTGCAGCAGAGGTAGCCTGGAAGACAGGGGTGAGGGATGCCTTCCTGGGGGAGGGGCCGGTGAGAGGCTCATAGAGGCGGCTGCCAGGCAGAGGAGGCGGGAAGAGGAGGAGGAGGAGGAGGAGCGGGAAGGCATTCCAGTTGAAGAAACAGCAGCGTGAGCGAAGGCACGAAGGCATGGGACTGCGTGTGTCCTGGGGGCGGGGAAGGCTAACTAGTCTGGTGGTATTGCTAGAGTGGGTTCCGAAGGCTGGGGCTAGAGAGGGCAGCCGAGGCCAGATGAGAAGAGAAACTGAGGGCGGGGGGGGGCATCTCAGAGGATCATCGGAGGGCACCACACAGCCCAAGGGACGGATGGCTCTGACACAGAGATGTGGCTCCTGGCTAACCCACGTGTGCCTGCTAGACAACCACGGCGGTGTCCTCACGGGGGTGGCCCGGAGGACAAGCAGAGCAGGAGGAGGGGTGAGCAGTGGGGTAGACCCAGCCCTGGGGTCCCGGAAGCTGCCATTCACTGGAGCTCCTTGCTCCCCAGACCTCTGCTTTCTGTACACTGCCAGCCTGGGGCCCGGGATCCAGTGGGAAATCACGTGGGGATGGAAGTTTTTTTGGCAAACTGTGAGGAGCTAGAGGCGTACCAGGACTGAAAGATCAGCCTGTAATGACTTCAGGAAGAAAAGAGTTGAGGATAAAGCAAGAGATGCTAAGGAGGTCAGAAGGGCAGACAGGAATTCCTAAGAACAAGGGCCCAAAGGAGAACGCAGCATCTCTCGGGTCAGACCACAGCTCACTCTCCCCTGGGAAGGCAGGCCCTTGTGAGCCGGGGCAGGAGCAGAGGCCAGTGGCAGACCTGGGACAGATGTGCATGGTGTGTGGCTCTGTATTCCAGCGACTTGTGTCTCCTTGGCCTGAGGCAGAAGATTCCTTGGCAATCAGGGACCTTTCGCTCTAGCCTTTGGGGGATTCACTGAGTCAGGGATGGGCCAGAGCCAGGCTTCCAGCCCTTGGGTGTTCTTAGGAATGGCTCTGCCTGGCAAAGTCTCAGCAGGGTGGGTAAGGTGGAGCTTAGAGTCTCGGCCACCCAGAGTCTGGCCGCCCCTGTTGGCGACCACTTTCCCAGGCACCACACCTTATATCACTGTTTTCAGGGTGAGCTTCTCCGACACCCTGGATGGGGAAAGGTGGAGGCCAGACTAGCCTGGTCAGTGCCCTGCTCTCCTGGGTTCTAGGGCTCCAGTGGGGGTGCGGCCTCTGGAAGGGGAAGCCAACAGCAGCAGCCTTCATGATCTGGCTATTGGTCCACAAGTGGGGGAGGGAGGCAGACCCTCTGAGGCAGCAAAGTCTAGAGGTGTCCCAGGTTGCTACTTTCCTCTTACCCTAAATACCCAGCTGTGTCGTGTGGGGTCTCCAAGCCTTCTGCTGCTTCCTCCTCTAGGTCCCACTGCCTGGGCTCTGCCCTCCCTGAACAGTCTGGAAGAATGGTGCTGCCTAGGGCACCGGTGGCGGTGGCGGCGGCGGCGGTGGTATTAGTGATGGCGTGATGGCGAAGGATGGCGAGGTGTGGGCGGTGGGTGGCTTCCCCTCTGCGGGGACAGCCTGGACCGGGGTGGGCTGGGGGTATCACTTGCTCTTGTGCATGTCCTTCAGCCGGCGCAGCTCCTCCAGGAGCTGGGCCCGGGAGGAGTTGTCGTCACTGGTGGGGCCCGGCCCCGGCCCCAGAGCTTCCTGCAGTGCCAGGCAATGGGTTCTCAGGAATGGGTTGTAGGCGCGCTCCTCTCCCAGGGTGGATGGGCACTGCAGGGCAAGAGGCACGGGGGTGGGTGGGTAGAATCTGGAAAAGGGACCCAGTACAAGGATGTCTGTCCTAGCCCCCTACTCTCCTAGGGTAAGAGGTCAGAGCTCTAGAAAGCGCTTGCGGGCCCAAGCTGGGCGGCGGCGATAGGCAGCGGCTAGATGAGTGGCCAAGTCCCGCACCCCACCGCACCCCATCCCGTCCCACTCCCCAGGCCTCACGGTGCTCTTGCGTTCCATCCGCTGTCTCTGCACCCACTGCATCTTCCTCTCACGGGCCAGATTCTCGGGCTCCACCACGCCTGCAAAGCCCAGGTTCTCTTCTGCGTATTCATGTCCTAGCCATGGCCAGCGGGGCCGGGAAGCAAGGCAGAGAGAGACTGGTGGTGAGGTCCTAAGTCCTTCCTACTCCACGGCCCAGGCCCGCAGCAGCTACCCAGCAGTCAGAGCGGAGGGCAGGGCTCTTGGGAAACCCCAACACCAAAGCTGCTTTTCCAACCACGGGCATTGCTGCGGGGTGGGGGGCAGAGGCAGTTTGGGCGGCGGTTTGGGCTCTGGGAGGCCACAGTTAAGCCTCTTACGTTGCCCGGCATGACTCCACTTATGACCAGGCACCTGCCTAAGCCACAGTTCTCTAATTTGCCAAGTGGAGAAGAGAATAACATGCCAGGCAAAAATTAAAAGAAAAAAAAAAAAGTTGGATGGGTAGGAGGGGGAGGGGGGTTTGGGGAGAGTTGATGTGTGTGTGTGTGTGTGTGTGTGTGTGTGTGTGTGTGTGTGTGTGTGAAGCCCACGTGTCACTGGTTTTCCCAGTGTATAGAACAGCCTGGTAAGTGACAGCTGCATACAGTATCCGTTACACAAGTGAGCATGTGTTCTGTGGATTAAATAAGGTATCTGTGATTTCTTGTATCAAATACAGGCCAGTGGGTACATGCGGACCAGATTTACTGTTTTCTCAGATGAGCAAAGGCTACTTTCTGTTTGGGCTTCGATCATAATTATCAGAACAAGTAGACAGCTTTCCAGGACTCTGAGTCCTCAGGGCTCCCAAGAGGCCAAGGGCTGACCTGGGGAGGGGACAGTGGCATGAAAGGCATGGGTATCATGTAGCCAGAATTACACTCCAGAAGGGAGGTCAGTGTCCGCTCCCACCCCCGGAGGACTGGCTGTGTTACCTCTGGGCCACAAACTGAGCTTGCCAGTCTCCGGGAACAGGAGGGACTGGGAGGGCCCTGTTACCAGGCAAAGCATGGAGCTGAGAGGAGAGAGAGGGGGGCATCTCACCAGGCCACAGCAGCGTATCATCCCCCAGGTCTAACACAGTGTCCAGTGAGTTCAGCATGGTCTCTGCTGTGCCTTCAAAGGTCCGTCCTGCATGGGGTCAGGTATGCAAGGGTGACACAGTATGGTGTCAGGTACACAGAGGGGGTGGGGCAGGACCCAGACTGGGCAGCTTGGGTCAGCCACCCTTCCTTCAACTGAGCCCTGCCTGGCTATCCCCAGGCATCCGCTCCCTCCTTATGGGAGAGCTGGTGTGAGGCCCTACACACATGGTGGAATGTGGAAGGCAAGGCTGTTGAGTCTTCTGACTGTCTTCCTGTGGTCCAGGCTTGGCGGGTAGAGACGATTCTCCCACCAAGAGAGTCTTAGACTTGGCTGCCCTCTGGGACTCTGCGGTCTAGGACTTGGGGTCCTCACCCACCTAGAGTGCTACCTTCTCATTTAAATATCCTCAACTTTCCATGGCTTCTTCTTCCTGGTCACTATCTTGGGGAAACAGGTCTCACCCAGTGGAAATCAGTCCTCTATGGGGTCTTTACTTAAAGGGTCCTCCCCTCAGGTCCATGCCCTGTGAGAATCTTGAGAACATAAACCATCAGGTAACACAAGTGTGGGTGACCACTAAACAGCCATTGGGGTGTTGGAAATCAACATTTCCAAACGTGACGTGGGACGGTGACTGCTCTGGCCTTTGTCTCCCCCCCCCTCCCCCCGTCTCTTTTGCAGAAACTCACCACAGCCAGAGAGGAAGAGCAGATCCCCTGAGAAGAGGCAGGAAGGACCCTTGTAGGGCTCCCCATCCAGCAGGTAGACCAGATGGCCTTGAGTGTGGCCAGGGGTGGCCAGGGCCCGGATCTGAAGCCGTCCCACACTCACCACATCTTGATGACACAGGGGACTGGGGCAGGAAACAACAGAGAAGAGGGAATTCAAGCTTGTGCCACGCCGGCCACGGCTACCACCCCGGACTTGAGGTGGCTATGGGGGGGGGTGACTTCTACAGCCGGGTGAAGACACAGGTGCCCAGGGTCTCAGGTCACAGCCTTCCTCCTCTGGCCATGGCTGGGTCATCTTGGGGCAAACAGGGTCAGTCTTTTTACATGGATTCCACTTGTCTAAGAGCTAGGTAGGGTGTCACCAAAGATCCAGCTGCTGACACCCTGGAAACCTGAAGGCAGGAGGGAGGAGATGCCCACCATGTTTGGGTCAGGGACTTACTGGGTGAGGTAGGGGATGCCATCCTGAGGGCTCCCATACACTCGGCAGTCCCTGTGCCGCCGGCTGAGGTCACGGTTCCCTCCACTGTGGTCCCTGCGGGATGGCAGAGATGAGCACAGGGGACTCCAGAGGACAACTGTACTTGGACTTCCCCCTTCCCTAAAGCACCCCCTGGCTTTTGTTCAGGCCATTTCTGCTTTAAATCACCCCTCAACTCGATATGCTTCCATGACCAATTCCAACTCATCCTTCTGGACTCTCTCGCTCAGCTCCAGTTATCATCCTCAAATTCCCCCCAAGTGGATCTGACCACACCCACCCAACGTTCCATCCTCTGCATCCTGTGCCACCTGCCAACTAACTAGACGTTCATTCTGTGGGCACCTCCTGCATGCCCATGAATGGAATACAGCAATTCCAGCCCTCCTCTGAGGCACTAAGTTTCTGAGTGCCATGATGAAGGACCCAGTCCCTTTCTCTCTACCTCTGGTGGTGCCTAAGGGACTTCATGAGGAGATGGGTCTTGCCCATCCTGATCACCCCCAGGTGGTCCCCTCTGAGCCCAGGTCTGCAAGCCCAACCCATGAAGGTAAAGCTGCCTGCAGCCATAGCCCCACAACTCCCAACCCCTTACCAGTGCTTGTGGGTGCAGAGAATAGCAACCAAGTTAACTCTTTCCTTTTCAATGGTAGCCTGAGGGAGAGAAGAGGTACTCAGGGTGGGGGTGGGGATACAGAGGGAGACACACTGAAAGTCTAGTTGGGGCTGGAGAGGTGAAGGAAAGGCAGGAGATGGGCTAGGGAGTGAGAGGCTGGCAAAGGGGCCCCGGAAGAGCAGAGGCCCAGCATGCCGTGGGACAGGGAGGAGAGAGGGGGCATCAGGAGTTGACACGATACATTAACATTGATAAGTAACTCTAGGCCCTGGGTTCTATTCCAGTACCACAACACACACATACACACACACACACACACACACACACACACACACACACACACACACCATATAATTGAAAAAATGTGGGTTGGGGATTTAGCTCAGTGGTAGAGCGCTTGCCTAGCAAGCGCAAGGACCTGGGTTCGGTCCTCAGCTCATAAAAAAAAAAAAAAAAAAAATGTTATACCAGGCATGGTGGTGCATGCCTTTAATCCCAGCACTGGGGAGGAGGAAGGGGCAGATCGCCAGCCTGGTCAGCATGTCAAGTTCCAGACCACTAAAGCTAACTTGGTGAGACCTTGTCTTGGGGGGCAGGGAGGTGAAGAGAAAAGAAAAGAGAAAGAAAAGAAGACAACACCCCCCCCCAACCCAGACAATAAATAAACAGATGACTAAGAACGGAAAAAGAATACCCACCAGGAGAACACAGAAGGTAAGGGGCAGACTGGAAACTGCCAGGATTCACAGTCCTCGGCCAGAACACCCACCCTCTGGCTCTGCCTAAGATATTCACTCCTCCCCATGCTCTATGGGGGGCGGTTCTTGTGTGAGGACACCCACCCACATGCAGGAGCATATCCCATAGTCAGAAGAACCAGGGTCAGCCCCCATCCATCAAGAGAAGCTGGCAGTCCCCACAGTGACTCCCGGTACCCCGGCTCACTCTCCCCTCACCTGCACAGCCCTCGGGTCTGAGGGGTCCACAGCCACAGCCAGCCCGGCTTGGGTGTCGATGATGAGGTAGCTGTAGTTGTCCGAGAGGACAGGGATAGGGAGCACCTTCACTCCTGGGAAAGGCAGACAGAGAAGCTGGGGCGGGGTGGGGAGCCCACTGAGGCTGGTAAGGAGGAGGAGGAGGGCAGTAGCCAGGGAGGTGGGTGTGGGGAGCAGGGTGGGGCGTTGGCCAGGGGCAGCCAGAGCTTACCATTGAAGAGGCGGGGCTGAGTTTTGGAATGGCCTTTGGGGTAGCGATTCCGAGCCCTCCGGAGCTGCTGTCGGTAGAAGAGGTACCCAAGCCAGGTCCGGGTGTACAGGCTGTACCTGCAGGGCAGGTGGCGTAGGGTCAGATTAATCCTCTTCCACGGCTGTATGCCCCACATCTCTGGCATCCCACTCCCTCAGCCACCCTGAGTCAAGCACTTTGCCGTCACCATTTTTTTTTTCGGTTTTTCGAGACAGGGTTTCTCTGTGTAGCTTTGCGCCTTTCCTGGGACTCACTTGGTAGCCCAGGCTGGCCTCGAACTCACAGAGATCCGCCTGGCTCTGCCTCCAAAGTGCTGGGATTAAAGGCGTGCGCCACCACCACCCGGCTGCCGTCACCATTTTATTTGTTTGTTTTCTTCTTTTTTAGTCTCATGTAACCCAGACGAAGCTCAACTCACTCTGTAGTCAAGGAGGACCGTGCATGCTGATCCTCCTGGCTCTGCCTCTACCTCTCAAGTGCTGGGATTATAGGTGTGGCTCACCACACTGGGTTCCTATGGTGCTGGGGATGAAACTTGTGGCTTCATGCTCAGGAAGCAAACTGACTGGGCTACGTCCCCAACCCTGGAAATTCCATTTTTAACCACTTCAGCTGCTGCTGCTGCTGCTGGTGGTCCAGAGACCAACTCTGAGAGCCACTGGGGTAGAGGAAGCAACAGACTGAGGCCCAGGGCGGCAGACAGCAGGGTTTGCTCGAGGAAGTGGAGTTCTACGGCATCTTAGCTGATAGAGGAGCAAGCAGGGGTGAGGCTGGAAGGGTTTGACCATCCATCCTTTTCCCACTACCATCCCAGCTATAGGCAGCTCAGGGAACTGGACCAGGATGCCAGAGTTCTCCAAACAAAATGTGAGACCTGTGAGGCCATCTAGGGCCCAGTTCAGAAGGGCCCCTTGGGCTCAATGCTCTGATGTCACACTATTTTGAATTTTTAATGATTTGAATATATATATATATATATATATATATATATATATATATATATATATATATTTAGTTTTATGAGACAGGTCTTGTCATACAATAAACATATCCTGAAGGTGGATCTCTGTCTCAAATTAAAAACAAAAAAGACAAATAAATAAATAGTAAAGGGCTGGAGGTGTAATTTAGTGGTAGAGTACTTACCTAGCATGTACAAGTATTGTGTTCAATTCTCAGTACCCCAAACAAACAAGACCGGTATTGCACAATATAAAAATGAATGGAAAATTCTTGCTCATTATTTAAAATTTCCTTTTCTTTCTTTCTCTTTTCATTGATTGGTTGATTGAGCTAGGGCCTAACTATGTAGCCTGAACTGAACTCCATCTGTAGACCATCACCATGTCTTGAACTAACTGGCAGTGGTCCTCGCACATCTGCTCCCCAAGTGCTGGGATCATAGTCATGGCGTTCACCACGTTGGCTTTATTCAGAATGACTAAGTAAGTAGAAAACTGAAAACACTGCAAGATAAAAGAGTGATGGAAGAACGGAAATGCTTCATATTCTCTCTCTCTCTCTCTCTCCCCCTCTCTCTCTCTCTCCCCAGAATCATCTGGCTATATAGCTCAAGGTGGCCTCAAACTTAAGATCCTCTCGCCTTTCTTTAGTGCTGGGATTGTAAGTACACAGTCAAGTCAGGCTTATTACTTTTGTACCATGAATAATAAATTTTCTCTTTTGTTTGAACAAGGGGCTTTGTTTTGACTAGTTAATTATCTATTTATTTAGGAACTATTGTTTGTTTGAGACAGGTTCTTGTGTAGCCCAGGCTATCCTCAAACTTGCTGTGTTACCAGTAATGACCCTGAACTCATGACCCGCCTGCCTTTATCATCTCCCAAGGGCTAGGGTCACAGGTCTGTACCACCCCATCTTGCACCTGGAGTTTGCATGACACTGGGAAGTACAAATTATGCATCTAGCCCTTCAGGATGGGAAGGAGCTGGCTTGGGCCCTTGCTGTGCAGGAAACAGGCTGGGGCGGACACAAGGTGAGGGAGCAGCCAATGCTTGGAGTGTCTGTCAAGCCAGTCAGAATACAGATGGCTTCCTAAGCTTGACAAGTTGAGACGGCATAGAGGGCTGACCCTAAATCTGGAGGTGTGTTTGAAGAAGGACAGACTCTCTAGCCCCTTAAAGAAATACTGGCTGCTTTATCTGCAAACGGTTTGCACAAACCAAGTAGGTCCTGGACGGTTTGGCAGTAAAGGTTCAGCTGCCGCCGAGCCAGGACTTCCGCTCTGCACCTCTCAGCTGCCCTGGCAATTCTGGCATGCCAAGGGAGGTCCTGCAGTCTGTGTTGTGCGCCCATTTTTATATCCTCTATTTTCGGTTTCATTTGCAACTCAGTTTTAGTCCTCTAGACTTTCACGTTTTTGACCACGTTTACTGATCCCCGGTTCCCGGCCGAGTGCCGTGTACACTGCACAAGATGGTCGACACTCCCTGAAGCGGGCCTTCTAGTGGGAGGGATACAGTAGGGAATAAAGTAGGGAAGGTGACCAGCTGAAAGCAGAGGAAGGATGAACGGCAGACAGAGTAGACCTGGCCGACAAGATGCCTTAGCCAGGAAGGGGGCTGGAGGCCAAGCCCGGTTACTGAGCTTGAGTCTCAGGACCCCGAGAGTGGAAGGGAGGACGTGACTCCTGTAAGTTGTCCTCTGATCTCTACCCCAGGACTCTAGCAAGTGCACACACAGAGACTAATCAAAAATGTCATAGCTATAGGCGACCAGGAAAACAGGCCTCCCAGGGAACGTGTTCATAAGGGACAGGCCAAGGAGGAGGTCGGGGGAAGCAGCCTCGAGGCCGAGCTCCCATCAACCCATTGTTAATTCTTTGTGTACTCTGCTGTAATAGCAAAGAGCTGGTGCAAGAGCGACACCCAGCTAGGGGGTGCGAGGGGAGCACTGAGCACAACCTGGATGTCCGTGAATAGATTGCAGGAATAAGGATTATAGATTGCTAAATAGCTGAATGACACATAGACCTTTTCTTGTTGAGAAGGATGATTACGTATTTAGATACTTCTACTGAGGAATGACCCAGGGTCATTGAAAGTGGCTCTTGGCGGTGAAAATACGGGTGTATCTTTCTTCGTATGCTGGGGATGGACTGTCCCATCTCCCCCCCACCTCCCTCCCCCCACCCCCCTCCTCAGTGGCTCCTTTGCTTGTGTACATTTTATTATTTGGTGGTAAATATGCTATGAATTTGGAGAAGAAAGGAGAGAGGGAGAGAAACTTAGATTCAGAGATTCTAAAAGAATCCTGTGGTTCAGAAATAAGACGCCCCCCCCAACCCCCCGTAAACTCATATAGTTGGACACATACATTTATTTTACATTCCTTTAAAAAAAATAAACAAGCATAGCTGGGTGGTGGTGGCGCATCCTTTTAATCCCAGCATTCAGGAGGGGAGGCAGAGGCAGACAGACCTCTGTGAGTTCGAGGCTAGCCTAGTCTACAGAGTGAGTTCCAGGACAGGCTCCAAAGCTACACAGAGGAAACCCTGTCTCGAAAAAAAAAAAAAACAAAACAAAAATCAACAAGCATAAAAAATACTACCTGAAAACACAAATGCGAAAAGGGGAAGACACTCATTTGAAACATAAACGGAAGAATACACACATAAGCTTCAAGACGTATTAAGACTGCAGATCTGGTGCAGGAAGTCCCCAAGTGTCCCTCTGACCATCTGCAGTCCTCCGGGAGAGGGCGGACTACAGCGGCTGGAGGCAGGTGGGAGAGGTAGGTGCCAGAGGGGCAACATCTGGACCATGCAGAGAGCAAGGTTAGCTTCTTGCACTGCTTGCCTCCTCCGGGAGCATGTGGCTGCTGGCAAGAGGTGAAACAGCCTGCCCCTCCAGGCCTCTTTTGTCCTGTAGGGGTGACTGCAGAGGGGGTGTGACCTTGAAGGTCACTCAGCAGACACTTTTCCTTTCTTAGACTCGATGAGGGGCTGAACTCAGATGGACCTGTGCAGCTGCCTAGTGTCAAGTTCTGAGTTCAAGGTGGCAGGCAGCAAGGAAGGCAGTGGGGGTGCGGGGATGCCTGAGCAATAGTGAGGAGGCACTGGGTGTGGGGAGGCACTGGGTGTGAGGAGGCACTGGGTGTGGGGATGCACTGGGTGTGAGGAGGCACTGGGTGTGGGAATGCACTGGGTGTGGGAATGCACTGGGTGTGAAGAGGCACTGGGTCCGAGCAATCCTAGCTCCACACCTTCTCTTGGGCAGGTCTCTCACCTGGGACCTTCTTCCCTCCGCTGGACCTTCTCCAAGAAGCGTCCCCTGACTCCTCTCCCTCTCTCTCACTGTGGCTTCATTCACCACGCAAACACTTGCGGTTTCTAACTTGCAGCCTAACGAACACCTGGACACCGGGCAAGTCACCAAGCACAGTCAGAGAGATTTGCATAGTCTCAAACTATCTGCCTTACAAGATCCTAATTAGTCACTGGAGAAACCTGGCTGACTCCACTTGAAACTGATGACGAAAGATAATGTCAGGCCCGAGGGCTCCATCAGCAGCTGGGCACTTGCCTAGCACCCATATGCACTGGGGTTCCAGCCCCAGCACCCACAGAAAGGAAAACAGATGCCTATCTCAGCAGTAACAATATATTTTTGACCATGGAGGAAGGCACAACTTCCCTTCTGTGGCCGTCATGTCCAAAATGTACAACCATAATTTATTCATGGGAAAAACCTCAGACAAACCCAGATTGAGGGACCCGCTGTAAAACACCTGGCCAGTGCTGCACATCAGAGGGGTCTGGGGGAGTCTGGACAATGCGGGACCCTTGCTCAGAGTCAGGACCGGAAAAGGAGCCGTCGGGAGACAGCTGGCGACATTTATTTATTTATTTATTTATTTATTTATTGGTTTTTCGAGACAGGGTTTCTCTGTGTAGCTTTGCACCTTTCCTGGAACTCGCTTTGGAGACCAGGCTGGCCTCGAACTCACAGAGATCCGCCTGCCTCTGCCTCCCGAGTGCTGGGGTTAAAGGTGTGCGCCACCACCGCCCGGCTAAGCTGGTGACATTTAAATAAGGTCTGATAGTGTTGACAGTCTC